AGTATGTAGTTTGATGTTATGTAAAGTTTGCGTAAAAGCTGAAAGAGAGCTATACGTTGGATCATTGAGAAATAGCTAAATTTCCAAACAAAAAATCAGATTTAGCCGGTTTTTTTATTATTATTATCTCCGATTTTGTAAACCAAATACTTCATAGCCCCTTTCAAAATAATACCAAGATGTTTTGATTAAAAGTTGGCAAAAAATTAACACTTTTTTTTGAAATCTTGACCTCTCAAGCTTTAGGCTGAGTTACTCTTCTTGTAAAAAATATTTCCGCAAAAAAAAATCATGTTCTGGGATGTGAAGGAAACAAAGTTATCAAAGAAACCTGGTTTTCGTCATGCCGACTCTCCTCATTTTGCGTGCTCTCTCAAACAGGGCTATTATCTCTGTTGCCGCTGGCGGTAAATTTGAAGAAAATATTATATAATGTATCACAATTTAACAAACGCGTATTTTACCCCTATTTTTTTCATTTTCCAATACCACTTTCATACCATTGCAACTTGATCTCTCGACCGTATTAATCTCTTTTTTCGACCAGAAACTTCCAAATCTCCCCTCTTGTTGCCATATCCCATGTCCTCGACATCCGCCATATTGAATTCTATTTTTCAAAACACTAAAATTTTCATTCTCCGGCAAAAATGTTTTGAATAAACTCGGAAATATCATTTTTCCCCCCTCCGCCGGCGGAGAGACGGCAGAGAAACACGGAGGGAAAGGAGAAAAGGGCCGAGGTTAGAATGAAACGGTGATATCAAATTACGTTAAGCTTTTAACTCGATTGTAATGCCTTTACGTTTTCCGTTTTCAAGTGACTTTGCGTCTCAAGGTTCCTGGAGGCTGAGGGAGTGGGCTGAGGGATCGTTGCGGGATATTTGATTTTTAATGGATCGAAAAAGTCCGATCTTGTGGTTCAAATTGGATAAAAATTTGATCGCTGATCCTATAGCTCCTCATAAAATTTTTAAACCCATTTTATTTCAATTCCTGCGGTCACTTTTCCAAATCTCAACCCGGAAATCCCATTTTAGACCCTCAAATTTTGGCTGAAAATTCTTGGAAATTCTGCGGAAAAAAAATTCTCATGGAGAATATAAATTGATTATGGCCGGAAAGACCTTTGCACTTATCTGTTTACCCGCAAATCTCCATTGTTTGCATCACTTGTCTGAGAAAATCGTCAAGAATAAGTGTCCGAACGCTTGAGGGGTTTCCTGCAGGCAGAGTTCCGTGGTCGATCTTTGGTAATGACGTTCAAGTCTAATTGTCTAACAAGAGAAAAAGAAATTTTTTGAAGGGATTAGGCGATTTTGAGATCAACGCTTTTGTTGGCCACATGAGACTTAGAACGCTGACTTGTGAGATTTTGAGTTTTGAAAAAATCCATGAAAAAAATCTGAAATGCATGTGGTATCTACGGCTAGAATGTTAAAAAAAGAGCTGATTTTTTTAGATCATAAATCGAATAAATCACCATTTTTTCATTTTTAAAAGTATATACTTGGCCATAGAGACAGAAAGTAACACGCAATTTGAGAGGTAGAAAAAAATAACAATAGCTATCACAAAAATTTTAATATTCTGATGATTAATCGCTGCACATGAATGATATGTCTTATGGAAATCCTGCCTCTACAGGGTACCTAATCAAAAACAAAAAAAAATTTTTTGTAAAAAAAATGCTTACTTTGCCAATTTTGTTATATTTACTGCCAACATTTCGCTAACACGAAATTTTTTTTTGAAATACGAAAAGCCGTGTTTTTTGCAACATTTATCCGCTGTGCATTTCCAAAACTGCATTCCTCTCCCCGGCCATTACCACTTTTCAAATAAATTCCCATCCGCAAACAGAGACCGCAAAAGGAATTTGTTGACAAATTCTTTTGGACACCGCCGATTTTTTTTTTGATAGATTTGGCCAATTAGCGAGCGGCTTTTGGGCAAATTAGCCAATCCAAAAGAAGCGGGAGACAAATTGGGAGCTGAATTCATGTTTTCCCTTCGACTCCGGGCACTACTTTAGCAACGTTCTCAACTGTTTAGCGATCTTTTAATTGCTTATCAGTGAAAACCAGCGCTAGCGAAGAAGCGCGTGATTTCGTACCCAACGCACGGCGACGACTAAATGAGAAAGGAATTATTTTCCCCGCAACGTCAATTCAAATCAAATTAGCGCGGTCCCAAGACTTTTTTCCCCCCGCAGGCCGTCTATTTTTTCGTCAAATCGGTGGCCAATAAATTTACTCACTTCCATAAAAAGGCATTAGGAATATAAATGAGTGAACTGGATAACCATTTGCGCTGTTATTTTGGTGGGGTTGCATCCTACAATCGGACAGTGAGGGAGCTAAGAGAGGAGATCCAAATGGTCTAAAAATTTGATAAATTTTGGCTTTTTTGATTCATTTTTGCAATTTTTAATACAATTAGGACTTGTAATGTATTTTTCTCTCCTTTGAGGTTACTTTTTGTGGTATCTTAAAGAGTTCTAGACGGCTTACTTGAATGATTTTGGGATTCTTGAGGACTGGTAATCTTTGCGTTCTATCAAAATTCCCTTGAGCTCTCGATGATCTAAAACTGCCTCAAATACGTCCCACGGTCTCCTCTTGCTCTACCTCTATCTTTGACCCATCTCACAACATCTATTCTCCATTATTCCGCCATTTCCTCCAAAAATACAATTCAAATTCCCCGTGTTCCCCTCATTCCCCCCATTCTTTGCCCCATTTTCCCATTTTCACCGAGCCCACCAAAATTTTGTTGCTAACACCGTGTAATGTTTGTCATGTCGTCGTCCAATCCGAAAGCCAAACGAAACGGGGCCTCTAATAATCAGGGCCGCACCCTTTGATTTTATCTTTTTCGCGTTATAAACGGGCTTTTTTTTGTTTGGGCGGCCGATTAATAAAACCGCGCGCGACTCTACTGACCCTTAAGCAGCGGCGGAGGAGCGATGGGAAGGAACTTATTTTTATTACCGATCGGAAGTGGCTTGGCCCGCGGTGGAGGTCCGTTCTTTTGGAGGGGTTCAGGCAGTTGGGGATCGATTTTACAGGGAGGAGTTCAAGTGGGATTCAAGGGATTTTGATCGCTTTATTTTGAGTGTTATTTACCTAGGTAAGATTCTGGCCATTTTGACTCTTCCTAGCCGTTTTAGATGCATTCAACTCTTGAATGCAGTAACTGAAATCCTCGGCAAAATTACGTAATTTTCCGGCTTCTCCCTCAACGCCCATCCCTCAACCCCTCAGGGCATGATGCACCCATCCTCGCGCTGTTTGTTCTCGACGTCAGCCGCTCTATTTCCCCGACCAAATTATGATGATGATGATCTGTTGGCCGGTTCACCTAATTTCGCATGGCCCATAAATTATTGCGGAAGAAGATGGTTTGTTTACCGTCTGCGTATATTTTCCGTGTTCTCTCGTCCGGTGCAAAGCCCGGCGAACGTTTGCGCAATTTTTCGGTTTTTCCCCCTTCGCTTGCTCGGAGATCAGCAATTAATTGCGCGTTATGTTGTTGTGTGGGGGTTCCTGATTGTCGCGCGCGCGAGCTCGGGAGGTTGCAAAAGTGCTCTTGGTCATGGCGGGGCGACGTGATGGTCATGGTGAAGGGGGGTCATTGAGGAGTCGCCGGAAGTCGGTGATTTTTCAATTTCCTTTTTGCAACCTGGGGAGTTTTTTTGACAATTTGAGGGGGTAAAAATTGGATTAATAAGTTTAGATTTCTAGCTAGTCATGTGGACTTAATTTTTTCAAGGAAAACGATGAATTGATCACTCGTATTTTACCTCTAAAACCGATATGGCTTCGATTTCACTTTTATTTTTTTCTTTCAATCAAAAAAACCGCTAAAATCACAAACCTCCGTGGAATACTCCCACAAAATTCTGCCCACTCCCTCAAGAATTAAGCCTATATCTTGTGGAACACTAGCCAGACATCCCCAAAATTATTACTCAAAAATCCCCTCAACTTTTTCAAAATCTTACCTCCCATCGGGTCATCAAAGCCCTTCGTCGCTTATGACAGCATGTGGATTTTTATGGATGTTCCGAACCCAAAAACCCCGCCGTCTTCCTCACCTACTTTCCATTCATTCCAGCGTCTCTGCGCCTTGCAGCCACAAAAACTCTGCATTGAGCAAATATTTGTGGACTTTTCCAACGTTGCGAGCCCGAGAATGAATAAAAAGCCAAAGCGGCGGACACGCGCTTATTTTGGTTAGCGCGATTCTCGCGGGGCGATTATCCACCGTGTAAATGAAACCTCAAGTTGATGTTCCGTTCTGGGGTCGGCGATTGTGTTACAACTCTATTTTTTACTCAAAATCAGCAATGTTTTGAGGGAAAGTGATGTGATTGCTGTATAGTATATTATTTGATTCTACGTATTTTTGCAATAAAACCTCCACTTGAGACAGTCCTATTTTCCAACGGCGTGCTTATCAAGCCCGGCGCTCTTGGAGAATGTTGATAAGACCCAATATTTTCGTCGGAATTAGTCCGTTTTTGTGTGCTGATAGTCATCACTACTCCAAAAAGCATTTGCTCTCATAACTCACCTGATTTTCCTTTACATCATAGTGGGAAACCCTCAAAACCCTTCTGAAATATTTTATTATATATTGTTATCGCCATAAGTTGCCATACATATCAATTTCTTGCCGATTTCCTTTGATTTCCACATGATTCCCTGCGTTTATACGTGTTTTCTCCCCCAAAACTTTTAACGATTCCCCCGTGCGCAACGTACCGAGCATGTCATCGTCTCCGATGAACAAACAAATATTCTCGCGGTAATTTTACTCTTTTTCATTCACAGCTTACTCTTGTCCTCCCCGGGTACCAACCACACTTACCACACTTTCCGCCACACCTATCCAGTATTGTGCTCCATTCAAGTTCCCGAAAAACCCGTGATCAGCCCCCGAATTCCCTCGCTGAAAAGCCGAAGATTTACCCGCTGTAGCCCGCCCAACTCTCTATGGACTTGCTCAATCAACATGTGTTCGAGGCGCAGGCCAACGCGTTGCTAGCCAGCCGAGAGGAGTTGGACAAGGACCGGCCCAGCACAACCACTTCCAATGAGTCGGCGAGTGGCTCGGGTTCGGTTTCGGTGATCTTAACCGTCAGATTGTTGATGTTGGGAAAGGTATTTTCAATTTATCCTTTGCCATCTTTCCTGTGTAACAATCTCCCTGCTTTTTAATCGTTGTATTCGAAAATACAATACATTCAATTTTTCGCCTCTAAAAGCACAAAGATGTCTTTATAAAATTCTATTAGGTTGGGACGAAAGTTTTCCCCTTTTTCTTGTTTTTTTCCAAACAAATTTATTTTGACAGTTGTAACGGGAAACCAAACATAACATCCACCGTCGGTATCCAGTACGTATTGCCAACGTTCCGACAAGGATTCAATTGGCGAGCTTAAAAACTGGGGTATTTATAATAAAAAATGTCAGAAAGACCTGTTTTGAGGTCCCCCAAACAATCGAACCGCACATCTCCCAAACGGTAGCTTAGCGATCTGATCAAATGGTAATCAGAAGGTGCCAAGGCTGGGGTGTAGTGTGGGTAGGGCAGCAAAGTCCATGCATTCTCCCTGAATTTTTTGCGCGCGATTTTTGCAATGTGGTAGCAGGCGTTGTCGTGAAGTAGGAACATTTGTTCCACTTTTATCTAGCATTTTCGGCGACGCGGTCCAACTGGCGATAATAATGTTATTTAGTGACAGTTTTACCATCAGGGAGCCATTCTTAATAAATACCTCCCATACAAGTCCACCAATCGCAGAACATGACCTTTTTTGGGTGAATTTTGGTTTTGGGGTTGGTTCACCGTGATGGTCGGGTTCAAGCTACTGAAGCTTGCGGGTATGGTTTATATACATCACCCATTTCTGGTTCCCTGTAATGATATTGGTCAGCCAAGTCAGCGTGCGGCGGTACGACAAAAATTAGAAGCAACAGTACAAGCCGTGACTCCGAAAGTTCGTGCGGAACAAATTAACCACACTTCCACACTTTTCCCAACCGATGTAGATGGTCCATAATGGCAGTATGGGAGAACCCAAAGAGCTCTCCAAGTTCACGTAATGGCAATTTGGGATAGCTCACGATTAAGCCTTTTAGGGCGTCATCATCTATCTCAGATGGCCGCCAGAACTTGGTCGTCTAACTCCTTTTTTGAACCTCTGGAACCAATACTTGGCCACACCATAAAAGAGGACGTCTTTGCCTATAACATCCTAGACTTCGGTTATATCTTCCATGGGTTTTGGTATTCTGCGATAGTTTTAAAATTTGACGCATCGAAACAGCAACTTTGGGACGGAAATTTTTCCACGTTTGGAGAGCGCTATGGGGACAAGTTACATATCAGTCTATATGCTATCAAGTCACCCTTACATAGTCACATGATAGAACTTTCCAGGAAGTTCCACAACTTCCATAACTTTTCCCGAAAATTAAGGGGAAAACTTTCGTCCCAACCTAATATTTTGCTTCAGGAAGTCGGATCAATAATTGGCAAGCGAGGAGATCATGTTAAGCTCATCCGAGACAAATCCACAGCCAAGATCAACATTAGTGATGGGTCGTGCCCGGAGAGGATTGTCAGTATCACCGGGAACTTATCCACAATCAACACAGCGTTTCAAATGATTGCGCAAAAGTTTGAAGAGGTAATTTTGCAAGTCATGCCCGTAGTTGTTTTAAAAATCGCACAAAAAAAATATTTTTGCCACAGGCGAGGTTTAATCTACATAAAAACGTCAGAAACTCTTGCATTAACTTCCCAAGCCATCCTTAAATGTGTTCTTTTCCAGGACATGACAGCCATTCCAAATTCAGTTCCCAAACCCCCAATTACCATGCGTCTGATCATTCCAGCCACTCAATGTGGCTCCATCATCGGAAAGGGCGGAGCCAAGATCAAGGAGATCCGTGAGCGAACCGGCGCTTCGATTCAAGTAGCCAGCGAAATGTTACCCAACTCGACAGAACGTGCCGTAACTATCAGCGGAACATGCGAAGCGCTAGTGGAGTGTATGCGACAAATCTGTATAATCTTGCAAGAGGCACCGCCAAAAGGCGCAACGTTGCCTTATCGGTAAGCTTGGATAATTCATACGGATTTTACACACTGTATTTTTCAATATTAAAAATTTTGTTTTAGGCCAAAACCGACATACAATCCAATGTTGGTTGCCAGCTCAGCAGCGGCGGCGGCAGCAGCGCAGCAGCAGGCAACGCAACATATTGCGACAATGATCCAACAGCAACAACAACAATATCCTCAGGCGAATGCATTAATGTCGAATGTTCTACAGTATCCTGGGTATGCAGCGATGAGCCAAGGGCTTGCCAAAGGAGCCTTCCCGGCGGTCAGCATAGCTGGAGGTAGGGTAATCTGTAGTATTTAGTCATCACGCTTGACGAGCTAGATGCCATGCTATAAAAAACTTTAAAAATTAGCTCTTAACGAGACCTTTGTTTCAGATATGGACATTCAACAAGCCATTCTAAACAACATTGCCCTTGCTCAGTCTCAACAAGCCGCTCTGCTGACCTCTGATGATCTACAAACAGCTCTATTAGGTCTGTCAAATCCCTTGGCAGCCGGCTGGGCGGGAACTGGAAGGCCGGAGGATCTGATCAGTGCTCAACTTTTGGGTCAAGCGGGTATTCTACAGCAATGCGGTGGGAAAATCAACGGACAAACGGGTATTACTGAAAGGTGAGGAAGTTTGTGAAGTTGATTGCGGCCTTGTTGTGCTATTTTCCATGGAATATTAGATGTAGAAGACCCACAAGGCCCCAAGAACTTACTTGTTGACCCGCCGTTCTATTAAACATGACTAAGCAAGCATATAAATAAAATCTAAAATTCCAGTATCTCATCTGCTCAAGCGACCAAGACGCGCAACTCCACCTCCCAAAACGGCTCAACCGCTCGCCGATATGCTCCGTATTAGCCGCCTCTTCTCCTGATCTATCACACTTTTGATTCCATTATCCATTCAAAGCCAAAAAAATTTGTTGGGGTCTCCACGTGATCTTACTTTCAAAATCTACTTACAGTATTATTTTTTCTCGGTCTTCTCGCGAAAGGGTTGGTATTTTGTTGGTCTACTTACTATTTATGTGCAATTTGAGAGCTTCTTTGTGTTGCAAAAACATTCGTTGTGTAAAGTTTTGGTTGTTGTATAGATTTATGAATTGAAAATAAATTTATGTAAATTTAGAAGCCTTTGAAGTGGTATTTTAAAAGAGCGGGTGAGTTGGATTAACTTGGAAATACAATGTTGTTGTCTATTACAAACTCTTCGCCTTTCCTAACTTGTTATTGGTTAGTCATTTAGGGAAGTTTTAAAGTAACACATAATACACTTTGTTAGCCATCTTCTCTTTAACGATAAACTGCTGATGGCGGTCAATTATAAACCCGTCATCTTTTGGAAAATACAATATTTCTAAGTTTCCCTAATTACCTAAAAACTAATCCGTTGGGACTTGTTTTGAAAGCACATCTTTGAGCTGGTCGAAGACTTTCTTTTCTGGCAACACCCGCATTTTTGGGATATTTCAACGACGTTGCAATACTTGGAAATGTTTGAAAAAAGTTTTTTAAGCTGGGTGCTCGACTGACACAGGTTCAATTTATTCAAAATTAACAACATTGGTAGGACACTGCACCTCATTTTTTTCTGCCCATTACAATAATTTTTCCCTCCCCCGAGAAGCCGCAATTTCTCGGGTCGGCCCGGCCGCGAGCCAAATTGTAACGGTGCCAAAAAACATGAAAAAACAAGCTCTTTTTCAGAGACCATAGATCGTTTTCGCGAGTGTTTGTGTTTACGCGCATATTTCTAGATTTTCGAAAGTTGTTATTCCTTCCCTCTCCGAACGACGAGGCCAAATAAGCCTCCGGTTTTAATCGAAGCGGACTTCGTTTGAGGGCGAAGATATTCTATGTAAATATTTTTATATTTTCCCTATAATCAAGTAATTTTGCACTTTTTTTCAGATAATATTTCAAAATGATTCAGAGTCAGCTTCCCACTCAGACCCCGTTTATTCAAATCTACGACCGGCTGACCGAGTGTGAAATTCGCGACCTTCATAAGGTTTTGGGTGAAAATAAGGATGCTCCAAGGCATGTGTTCAAACAAGAGGTTGACAAATTTGTCTCCAAATTAGATCCTGAATTCCAACGGGATTACAAGAGAATTGAAGAGGAAATGGAGAAATTGGAAATTAAAGAAAAAGAGGAGAAATCAAAGATTTTGAGTCATAACAGTCAAACTTCTTATGGAGAACTGGCCAAGGCTTTGAATGTGAGTTCGGAAAAATGAAATTAATTTACGTTGAATTTTCACTGTCATCCTTTTCTATCAAAAACGACGTTTTAGGATGACCCGTTGAGTGAATTACAGCAAATCCAACTAGTTCACAGGATCACGGAAAACATCGAACCGGAGATTATTCAAGAGCTCAAGTCTAGTGGCATTGTCATCCCCAGGCGGGCGCACACTTGCGGGCAACCACTTTGCGGGCAACCAGTTTGCGGGCAGATTTTTTGCGGGCAGCCACTTTGCGGGCAGCCGACATTTGCGGCCAGCACCGGCATTTGCGGGCAGCCTGGGACATTTGCGGGCAGGGTCGACAGTTGCGGGCAGCCTGGAAGATTTGCGGGCAGCCGACATTTGCGGGCAACCGACACCTGATTGTGAGGGTAACAGGGTGGACGTGGAAAAATTACTATGATATTTTGGAAATTTGCCGACATTTGCGGGCAGCCGACATTTGCGGGCAATCGGCACTTGAGGATAACAAGGTGGAGGTGGAAAAATTACTTCGATATTTTGGAAGTTTTCCGACATTTGCGGGCAGGCAATACTTGCGGGAAACCGACATTTGCGGGCAACAGTTCCAAAAGTTCCTATACAGTCTGTGTGATTGTTTTTTCCTGTTGCCCGCAAATGTCGGCTGCCCGCAAGTGTCGGCTGCCCGCAAATGTCGGCAAATTTCCAAAATATCGCAGTAATTTTTCCACCTCCACCTTGTTATCCTCAGGTGCTGGTTGCCCGCAAATGTCGGCTGCCCGCAAGTGTCGGTTGCCCGCAAATGTCCTAGGCTGCCCGCAAATGTCTCAGCTGCCCGCAAATGTGACCCCCCAAATTTTGCCCGCAAAGTGGTTGCCCGCAAAAAATTTGCCCGCAAACTGGTTGCCCGCAAAGTGGTTGCCCGCAAGTGTCGCGACGCCCATCCCCAGCATGCCGAGATCATAGTTATGCAATTCAGGGAAATTCATTCCCGATATTCGAGTCTTCAATAACTTTTCTCTGTTATGCATTATAGAATTGTTTGTTAATTAACCTGTGCCATGTTGAAGAATAAATTTCCAACAGAACTTTGACTAATAATAACTTTAAACCCTAAAATTTTAATGTTCAATTTGTTTTATGTAATACCGTTTTTCTTTTGTCAAATTTTTTACGAAAATTGTAATCTTCAACTAAAATATGTGTTGTGCTTTACGCATGCAGTGGAAATGCTCGAAATTTGACGTCCAAATTTTAATAAAACTTGGATCAAACTCCGACTTTAATATAAGAGCTCTTAGAATCCTAAAACACGTTGCACTGGATGTTACTCACGTGGATGGTCAATAATCAACCAAATTCTGATTAAGCGTTTGAAAAGCTGTTAACAAAAAAACAATCCGATTAATTGTTTACCAATTTTCGAAATGGCCCACAGCGTTATTAAATCTAATAGTTTGGACTTTGTTGGTTCGCTGACAAGAAGGGAATTGTTATTATTTTCAAACGAATTTTTACTAGTTTGTCGGGCGAAGTCACTTCTTTTCTGCCGAAATATCATCCTTTGGCTCGGGAAATCAAGTTTTATAACAGACGAGGTAGGTATCTACTGGCAAGGAACTGAACTTTCTTTGTAAGAGATTACAATAAATGGGAAATGCCTTATCATAAACGTTTTCGACTATTGTCGTTGGTCTTTTTGTCAATGCAATTTTTGCTTACAACGCATTCTCATTCGCCATCGGTCTTTGGTGCCTTAAAATTTAAGCTCGCAGCTTGCCCAGATGGCCACGATATTGAACAAGCTTCTCAACGAGAAGAGTACGCTCAAGGCGGAGGGCGTTCATAGATAAAAGCGCACTTTGCCCATGTCTCTGCTCATTTTACCTACAGAATTTTGAGTTTTGGTAGAAACGTTCCTCTCTAAGGTAAAAATCAGCCTGAAATAAATAAGTTATCCGAATAATAAAAATGTCGGCCATGAACAGCTTTCGGACAAATAGTTTTTCTATATGGTGGGGGCTAGGAATTTCACGTATACCTGCGACAAAAATATGCCAAATTTTTGCCAAATTTCCTGGTCGTCGCATTCCTCTGTTGGCCTGCTTAGAATCTGTATGCAAGGTTGCGATAAATTAAAAAGGTCCAACTTGGGGCATTTTCCCAGAAGTCATTAAAAAATCCCTTCTAAAAAATTTAATGTTATTGTTTACCAATTTTTGGAATGCTCCCTAATCTTATTTTTTCGGACTTTGCTTCATTTTCGAACTATGAAGAATGGTTCTATCCGGCAAGCTTTGGAATTTCACGGATCAAAATCTTTTCTCTGCTCTCATAAATCTTTTCAACAACCTCTTCGTTTTAGCCAAAGCCTAATTTTGATTTTTCAGATACAAGTTCACCATGTTCGAAGTTCATTGTCGTCTCCCCTCCAATTCACCGTTCCATGAAATCTACGAGCAACTGAACGAACGCGAACTCAGGGGTCTCTATTATTTATTCGAGGAGAAAAAGAAGGCTCCGAAATATGTGTACATGCAAGAAGTGCAGGATTTCATCTCCGGGCTCGATCCAAAAATTCAAGAGGAATTTCGACGATATAATGCAAAAATAGAGGAGTTGGAGAAAGAGAGGGAAGAACGGGCGAAACATTTGAGCCATGAGACGCAAGCTGTCTACAATGACATGGTCAAGATTTTGAGGGTAAGTGATGATGGTAAAATGAGGAAAACCGAACTTGTAGCCTTTGATTTGAAGTAGTTTTGTGACCAGAATCCAAAAAGCATAGGATTTTCAAGATATTGCAAAGCAGTCATCGATTTTTTTAAATCTTTCAATACAAATTTTGCACAGATGTCGGTCATGAACTAAGCATCAATTCCTGAAAGTATTAGCCCGCGCTCTGCGATCGCCGTCGAGATATTGAACGATCTTTTCCGCCGAGAGAGTACGCTAAACGCGGAGAGCGGTCAGAGAGAAAAACATTTTTTGATCATAACTTTGCTAGTTTCGTGCGGAAAAAATGATCTTTTGTGGAAAAAAACTCTCTATGGTAGAAATAAGCATGAAAGTTTTCGTGCCGGAGTTCGGCAGAAAGTGTCAAATTTTCGCCAACTTTCGATCTAAAAATCTCGGTTGTTTCTGCAAAGCGCGAGCTAGGATTCTCACATATATTTAAGAAAAAATTATTCTGAATTTGTGCCAAGTTTCATCAAAATCTGAGCGTCGCACTTGGGGTACTTCCCTTGTGAGATCTGCGGATATTCTTACTGTCATCCGAAATTTGAACATTTTTCAGAACGACCAAATTAGCGAGGAAGAGCAAGTACAAAGCGTTCGGAAATATGCTGCACATCTTGAACCGGCAATCATTGAAGAACTAAAATCTGCTGGCATTATTGTTCCCTGCGATGAATAACCAACCATTTCTCGTTTGATTTTCTTTATTTTTTCACTATTTATTTTTTGAATGCCTTGTAAACTACAGTACATAAATGCCACTCACAAAAACTTTTTTGTCTGGTTTTTTCGAAAATCTCGAAAATTAATCTTCCAATTATCAATTGATCCAAGCAGCCGCAGCGCTTTACATTCTCGAGACGTTTCAAAGGTTTTGACGAATTTCTTTTCCGTTTAGCGTCGACCCGCTGATAATTCGGGTCAGATCGGACTTTTGCGCCATTTGGGAACGTCTTCGTGAATTTTCGGATAAAGCAGGCGCCACGGGAAGGGAGATAATATTATCGATACGTTCGGCGGGCTTGATCAAACTTTTTGGAGGGCAAAACTTTTGATTTTTTGTTGGCACAAAATTTGATTATTTGCCGAATTTCTAACAAGCTTCCTCTTTTAAGGCAATTTTCTCTTTTTTAATTAAATTTTCGAATGTTTCATGCCATTTTTTCTATCACAGTAACTCCCATCCATTTTTAAAAACACTTTAAAATCTCCCACTTTTCCATAAGTCAGTTTTAAATTCGCCAAAATCACCTCCAGACGCCCTTTATCATCAACGCAAGGGACTATAGTCGCCGGAGTGGCATTGCAATTATAACGGTAGGAAAGGTTTTCCTTTCCTTTCGCTTTTAACCGAAATCCCATCGACGTCGCTGTTTGATGTTGACGCGAGAATTCTTATCTCCTCGAGAGTGCGGTCTTGAATGGCGCGGGGATAAAACTGAAACCGGGCGATTTTGGGGGGCGCACCGAAAATTAAAATTATGATACGAAAGGTTGGAATGGGGATGAGTTTGACATGTTGGGGGCTAATTGGGAACTGCGTGAAAATTTGAGCTTGTGTTTTGCAGGGGAATGCTCAAGAGGCAACTTCGCGGTTTTATTAAAATTTTTTGGGCTTTTTGAACTTTATATCCAGGTCGACTTTTAACAACTAAAATTCTTAGCTTGTGCTTTAGGGATTCATCCAAAAATTGCTGGTTTTTTTGCTGATTAACGACAGCGATGAGTAAAATATGCTTGTTCCAGGAAAAGTAATCTTTGGTCATATGTATTATATATCTATGTGAATGCTCCGTAAAAATATTTGTTGGTAGAAATATATATTCTTTCCACGTAAATAAAGCATAACGTATCGTATTTTACCGAGAACACTTCCAGATTTGTGCTTTTGGAAAGACCACACTTTAGGCATCAACGCAAGTATCGGTAATTGTCTCCTGCAAATCCGTTTTTCAAAGCTAACCGATCGTAAAATTGGTTGCTCCTTCAAAGTGTCAATTTTATCTTCTTCTTGTTTCTAAATATGTCAGTGTTCACGCTTTAGTGATCATAAAATTTTTGTCGAGAGAACCCGCGATTCCAACGAGCTAACGATAAGCGAACTTCGACTCTTCCGTTCGTCGTTCGATTGTGTTATCCTTCACATATAAAATTTCAAAACTGATTCAACGTATTTTAAATACAAGCATTTTGTTTGTAATTATGTTTGTTTATTTATCGCACCCGCTACGTATTTTGTTCCGTTTTCTTTTTCCGGATTTGAAACCGATCCATCCGAGAAAAAAAGCCGCTGATAACCGACCCATTTTTTATCAACATAAAGCTTGTCGATCCTTAAGTAAACGTTTTCAAAACGCAGAGTAATTTCAACAGATTTTTTCCTGAATAAGACCGGCCTTTGTAAGAATATCGTATTTTAACCCAAAATTGCAGGTCACGATGCCGGCTGAGGAACGCCGGGATGAAGATCCCCCGTCATCTCGGGCAGATACCGACCAGTCAAAGCGAATGTCCAGACAAATTGGAAGAGGGCACGATGACACATTACCGGCTACACCGGGCTACAAGTCAGTGGACAAAGGAGGACCGGTAAGGAGTTGTAAAGTAGGATACGCAGAGTTGAAGATACTGTGATATTCGGCTTTAAATTTATCAAATTATACTCTAGAATTATGAAAACCTTGGATTTTATTATATGTACATCAATGTGATTTTTATTCAAGATTGCGCAGGCTTTTCTTACGCCTTGTTAAATCAAGTACGATGTCCTCTAGAGTCTAAATCCTTGCTTGACCTTCATGTATACTCATAGGTCAAAATATATTATACATTTTTTAAGGTTTTTTGGTACCTTATTTACTACTGTTCAGAAAAGGCATTCTAATCTTGTGCTTAGGGTTATATGCCTCATGATTACTAGATGTTTCACATGCCTGTTTCTAGGAGTCCCCCGGAAATGAATCGCCAGAAAGCGAAGACTCTTCTGAAATGCGAGTTGTCCCACGACAGCGATCGATGGCGGCAGCTATTCCTTATCATCGTTCTGAATTCGAAGTGCACAGTAAGTCAAACGTCAAAGATTTCATTCGTATTTTAAAATTCTTTAAACGTAATTCTAAAGCTGTTAAAGTGATATGCACGTATTTATGGGAATCGTATTTTACCAAATCATTTTCAGCATATCAAGTTGCAACTTACCGAATCCACCTCTCGAAGTTTATTGAAGGAATGATCAAGCCATCGCTCTTTCACTTGGCCAAAACTGTCTCCAACAGATGCTTTTTATTTTTGACATTACCAATTTTTCTTCTTGGAGTTTCATTGATTGGCCCCATCTACTACAAAGATCAGCTGCAGATCAGTGTCCCATTTCCGTCGTTTTTGAGTGGTCCTGATCCAACAGTAGCGGTGAGGTCGCTGAGATCGCAGGTGACAGTCCCATTTAATTCGAGCAATCCAGAGTTTGATGCGCTAAAAAGAACAAGCTCTTCAGAGTTCGGGATTCTGTTGAGCACAAAGTAAGTTGTGTGGCTTTAGCCGTTTTATGGAAGCCTACAATGTCGGAGCATATAAGGCGTTTGTGTGGTCGAAATTTAGTTTTATTAAGGTTGATTTTTGAGTAAAAAATGGTCTTGTGCCTTCGAAATTTGCGTTAAATTACATAAGAGATTTTAAAGCCTTTTTTCATTCTTTCAACAAAATTTTAGTGAACAAAGTTAAGTTTTTTAAAACGGACTTTTTTACAAAGTGAAGCATGGCCCGGACATTGTTGCGGTGACCATCACCGAATTTCTTCAAATTTGGCTCATAGAACACCCACAGGGCATACATGAAAAGCGTCTAAGGTTTTTGCGAAATTTGCATTATTCCAGGATTACTGTAACATTTTGTGTTTTATAAAGCGGCCGTTGTGGTGGGCCGGGTGATGGCTCTATGAGTACAAAACTTTCTGTGTGGCGGTTTTCGACCATGGCCAACATTTTCCTTACTGAAACATTTTTTGTATCTCTTCATCTTATGGTAGTACTGTAACCTTCAACATACCATATCGATTACCGTTAAAAATTGGGAAAAGTGTAACCAGTTTTTAAGCTTGATTATAAAGGTTGGACACACTCTCCGTAAAATAAGACCAAAAAATCCAAAATAAAAATATAAGTTTTTGAGATATGCGCGTTCAAAGTTGCTATGTTCGGGTACTGTAGGACCAAAATGGAGATGATGAATTCTCAAACGGTACCATTCGTTGCCACGCCTCACCCATTAATAGAGCAGCCTGAGAAAAATATTTTCTGATCAAAAAATAAATATTTGAGGCTTTATTTCAGGCTTTATACGATGGTTACTGTAGTTTCTAACTTTTGTTAATTTCGCTAACCATTTTTTCCAGATAACGTATTTAGACTAGCTATCCCATTGAGAAATGTGTATACAACGTAAAAATAAAAAAATCAAGGTCGCAGTACCATCAATTCCTGAAATAAAGGGAGATTACGGTAGCCGTATCCGTTTTTTCGCTGTTTGGCCGCGGCATTCTTTGGAGCTGCAAGTGTAACCAGATTTGAGACTGGAAATTCACTCAGAATGGATAGATCAGTATTTGAGCAAAAAATAGCGAAAATAAAAATATAAGTTTTTGAGAAAATCCGGGATTACGGTCATTTTAAGGGGTTTTTGGGCCGTTTGGCCGCGGCATTCTTTGGAGCTGCAAGTGTAACCAGATTTGGAAATGGAAATACACCCAGAATGGATAGAGGAGTATTTTAGCAAAAAATAGCGAAAATAAAAATATAAGTTTTTGAGAAAATCCCGGATTACGGTCATTTTAGGGGGTTTTTGGGCCGTTTGGCCGCGGCATTCTTTGGAGCTGCTAGTGTAACCAGATTTGAGACTGGAAATTCACTCAGAATGGATAGATGAGTATTTGAGCAAAAAATAGCGAAAATAAAAATATAAGTTTTTGAGAAAATCCCGGATTACGGTAATTTTAGGGGGTTTTTGGGCCGTTTGGCCGCGGCATTCTTTGGAGCTGCTAGTGTAACCAGATTTGAGACTGGAAATTCACTCCGAATGGATAGTTGAGTATTTGAGCAAAAAATAGCGAAAATAAAAACATAAGTTTTTGAGAAAATCCGAAATTACGGTCATTTTAGGGGATTTCCTGGCCGAAATTACCGTAATCCGGGATTTTCTCAAAAACTTATATTTTTATTTTCGCTATTTTTTTCTAAAATACTCCCCTGTATATTCTGAACAAATTTCCAGTCTCAAATCTGGTTACACTTGCAGCTCCAAAGAATGCCGCGGCCAAACGGCCCAAAAAACCCCTAAAATGACCGTAATCCCGGATTTTCTCAAAAACTTATATTTTTATTTTCGCTATTTTTTTCTAAAATACTCCCCTGTATATTCTGAACAAATTTCCAGTCTCAAATCTGGTTACACTTGCAGCTCCAAAGAATGCCGCGGCCAAACGGCCCAAAAACCCCCTAAAATGACCGTAATCCGGGATTTTCTCAAAAACTTATATTTTTATTTTCGCTATTTTTTGCTAAAATACTCCTCTATCCATTCTGGGTGTATTTCCATTTCCAAATCTGGTTACACTTGCAGCTCCAAAGAATGCCGCGGCCAAACGGCCCAAAAACCCCTTAAAATGACCGTAATCCGGGATTTTCTCAAAAACTTATATTTTTATTTTCGCTATTTTTTGCTCAAATACTCATCTATCCATTCTGAGTGAATTTCCAGTCTCAAATCTGGTTACACTTGCAGCTCCAAAGAATGCCGCGGCCAAACAGCGAAAAAAACGGATACGGCTACCGTAATCTCCCTTTATTTCAGGAATTGATGGTACTGCGACCTTGATTTTTTTATTTTTACGTTGTATACACATTTCTCAATGGGATAGCTAGTCTAAATACGTTATCTGGAAAAAATGGTTAGCGAAATTAACAAAAGTTAGAAACTACAGTAACCATCGTATAAAGCCTGAAATAAAGCCTCAAATATTTATTTTTTGATCAGAAAATATTTTTCTCAGGCTGCTCTATTAATGGGTGAGGCGTGGCAACGAATGGTACCGTTTGAGAATTCATCATCTCCATTTTGGTCCTACAGTACCCGAACATAGCAACTTTGAACGCGCATATCTCAAAAACTTATATTTTTATTTTGGATTTTTTTGTCTTATTTTACGGAGAGTGTGTCCAACCTTTATAATCAAGCTTAAAAACTGGTTACACTCCTTCCAATTTTTAACGGTAATCGATATGGTATGTTGAAGGTTACAGTACTACCATAAGATGAAGAGATACAAAAAATGTTTTAGTGAGGAAAATGTTGGCCATGGTCGAAAACTGCCACACAGAAAGTTTTGTACTCATAGAGCCATCACCCGGCCCACCACAACGGCAGCTTTATAAAACACAAAATGTTACAGTAATCCCGGACTGGTTGAAATTTCGCGAAACCCTTCTTCGCTTTTCATCAACATGCTCAGGCCCTTCTATTGGCCAAGTTTCAAGAAATTTGGTGATGGTCGTTGCAACAATGTCCGGGCCCCGTGGAGGGAAGCTTCAGTTTGTAAAAAACTCTCTTTTAAATACGCCGGAGGTACATGTACATATAAATATATTTTACTGTCAGGTAATTACTTAAATCGCACATAGCCTTCCAGGCTCTCAAAAAATATTAAAAACAAAATCGATTACACTAATGTACCACCTGTGGCATCGAGTGCCTCACTCACTTAAAAATCTTCTTTCAGGAACCCCTTTACAAATATCATTTCCAATTCTTCTCTGTCAACCTATGATCGGCTCAACTATATGATTGCGAACTTGACTGTGGCTCATACCGTGAAGAGCTTGACGGTAAGTAATTTTTTCGTTGATAAAGCAAACTTCTTTGTCGAATTTTTTCTACAGCGTATTTTAAAATGCCAACTTTTTAGTGGGACGACATTTGTCGAGAGAACTGTGATTCCGACAACTTGCTGATGAGAAATCTCCGAAATGGCAGAGCTTTGCTGAAATGGCCACAATCGATCGTATTTGATGAGGAAAACAAACAAAAGAGGTTCTCGGTGGCCAATGTTTTTGGAGGTGAGTTGCGAATAAAATCTTGTAGTTTTGTCCAAATCTGCACGGTGATTTTAAGTTTGTAAATAGTTAAGATTAAGTCAATTATCTTCTTTTTTCCAGGGGTTGAAGCTGATGGAGACAACAATATCAACAAAGCCAATACGATTCAAATGAACCTCAAGCTCAAGGAGGATTTGAAAACTGAAACTTATGACCAGTTTGATGCCCGGCTAAAAAGTTTGGTATGATAATTCCAATTGTTTGAAACCGCGTATTTTACATCGAAAAATCACTCCGTTTCTCGATTTTAATGACAAATATTTTGCAGCTAACCAACCGATTTTCCGACAAGGAAATGAGAGTTTACTATTGGTCAATGTACAATTATATCAAGGAGGTTGTCCAGATGTTGAATGCCACTCATTATCGACTGTTTCCTTTTGCGGCGCTACTTGTGATCTTCTGCGTGTTGGTCAGCTTTCGAATGGATTCTTATCGGGTAAGACTGCTGCCTAAAGATATTATTTATTATTTCTTTGCCGTTGACTTGGCGGAAAGCCCAAATTTTACTTCGTCCTAAATTGAACAAGATCCCATATTACAGTGGGGGACCTGATCCAGTGGCAAAAAACCTACCATTTTGCGAATGGGAAGTGTCAAAAATGTGGCAAAATTCTTCCCTCTCCAAGTGCAAAAAACTCCTTATTTCAAAAGCACGCCCGCTCTTTTTGTGAGGGATAATGCGCGCCCTTCAAAACGATTTTTTTTCACTTGGAGAGGGAAACATTTTGCCACATTTTTGATACTTCCCATTTGCAAAATGGTACGTTTTTTAACACTGGATCAGGTCCCCCACTGTACCACCTCTCTTCTGACTGCATGCACTTTCAGACCCGTCCATTTGTTGGCCTCCAGACCGGTGTTGTGCTTGTCCTCAGTTCGTTCGTCGGATATGCCGTTCAAATCGCGGGTGCTGGCCAGATCAACGCCTTGGTCTTCCCAGCCGTCTTTGTCATCAGTGCTTGCGGAGCGTTGTTATTCTTTTCTTTGGGGCAATCTTGGAATCGATACTCCTTGGCAGCTCTTCATCCCGCCGAGAAATTGGCTTTCATCATTTCGTGGGATGGCCCATGCACCTTGTTGACGCTGCTTTGTGTTATCGCGGGATCAAGTATGTTATCATAAATTTAAAGACAAATATTCAAGCACAAACACAGCACGTATTATACCAGTCATAATCGATTTTTCCAGTTATTGTCGCTCTGTTTGCCCCATTGACTCTGATCCAAGCGAGTTTCTTTACCATTGCTGCCGGTTTGACCGCAGTTCTGATCTTTGGAATGCTCTACATGGCAGTTTGTTGGTTTTGGTCGGGCCGTCGCGAAGCTGAAGGCTTGAAATGGTGGCAACTCGGCAAGAAAGGCGATCAACAGTTCAACCGTTAGTTAAAAAAACTTCTACGTTCAACAAAAGTCTACTAAAAACTCAAATAACCTTTCTATATTTTTCAGAAAAATGCGTCGTTGATTACGATCCGTCAACAGCCGCAATGCTTCATGAAAAATTGGCTGACTTGAAGCCCAATTTCGCCTCTTCGGTTGGAAAATTCTCTTCCTCATATGGAATGAGGGCTATTTCGCTTTGCATTTGCGTTGTCTTTGTAACATTCGCTGTGCTCGGATTAGAACACATTAATGTCCAAATGAAAGAGGAGGACTTTGTTCAGAGCAACTCAACTTCAGCTCAATATTTGAGCAAGTACAAGACCGCTTTTCCGTAAGTCTTGTTTAAAAAAGTTATCAACCATTTTCAGGAAATACGAAGAGTACGTCGAGCTCATTATCGACAGCCCAATTGACTACTATGACAAGAGTCGGCGAGCAGAAATCATGAAGTTGATGCGTCAACAACTTGAAGACGGCTACGTCGATCGCATTGTCAGTTGGATCCCTGATTTCGAGGACTTCCAAAGAAATACCGTCTATGATGTTAATCCAGACACAATTATTGATGTTATCAAGTTCTTGTTCTTGGAGTCCGACCATTATCATCGATATGCCAGTGATATCGTCATTGACAAGAGGAGAACGCAAATTTTGAGATCCCGGTCGTATTTGGAGCTGACCGAAAAGGGTGTTAAAGAGAGGCAGACGTTGGTGAAGAATATCTTGGAGAAGGCTGAACAGTTTGATCTTCCTGTTACAGTAAGAACACCATTGGCTTTCAGCCTGCATCATGATGTTCAGGTAGGGATTTAGGGACATAAGACCGATATTTCTGCACCCATAAAGTCTCGAAAATTTTGAAAATACTTGGCACAAATACCCATCAATTTCCTCCAAGATATGTAGGCTTTTTAGCACGCACTATCTACATAGATACGACCCAGTCCCTACAGTCTAAAAATACCAATTTTGTGCTTATTTTTCCTTCTGTCTAAAGTGGATTATATAAATTCATATAAGGCAGTCTCTTCATCACGAAGCTCACGGCATGGAGAGTCTTTTTCCCTGATCCACCCTTTCCGTTTACAACAAAGTAATTTTCAGAAACCGCTGAATTATTCAGCTATATCTGTCAGATGTTGTCATACTTGCTAGAATCTTTTTATTTACCGCAAAATGAACATGCAAGATTTGATAAAAAATTTTTTCGTTTTTGGTTCCCCCTAGGGATCAAAGCTCGCTTCCTTGAAGATTTTGACGACTTCGTTAAAATGAGGCCGTTTCCACTGTCCCAATTTATTTTTTTATTAACCACCAACCGCTGGTGCTCGTATTTTACCATTTCAGGTGCTCAACCGTTTCCTCCTCGCCCTCATCATCGAGATTTTGTCCATCACCGCCCTGAGTTTCATCCTCATTCTGCAGCCATCAATCTCTCTGTGCCTTCTCGTCAATTGCTCGATAATTTCCTTCGGAATCATTGGGTATTCCTCGTCGCTAGGAATCCCTCTAAATGCACCGACATTAACAACCTTGCTCATGGGAAATGTCTACATCGCCGTGATGACAATTCATTTCTGCTATCAATTCGTGAATACTGGCAGTCGTCAGCAAGCAAGTATTGATCGAATTTGTTACGCCTTCCAATGTAGTCTGGCGCCCAATGTGTTTTCTGCCATCATTTTGGGAGCTTTCTTTTTCCCATTGCCTGTGGCGGTTGATGCTCCCGTCCTGATGCACGTATGGAAAATATTGATTGCTGTGGCGGTTCTATCCGTACTTTCGATGATTTGTGTGCTTCCATTGTAAGGCTTTATCATATAGTATTACAGTCATATAAAATTTCGTATTTTACACTATGTTTTCCTATGTTTCAGGTTGATGATTACTCTCACCGAGACAATCGCCAAATGTTTTGGGAAGTTCCACAAAATTTGCGACAAAAATGGTGTCTTTGGAGTGGAGCATCCTTCCGAGAGCATCTACTATGTTCAAGGAAGTCGGCAGCTGAAGATGCTTGGCTATGGCCACGGTGGAATGCTGACGATAGATCGGCAAACTCGACAGATGATTTTGAACCCCAACAGACTTCCACAACCTCCTCCTGACTACACAATGGGAGGAAATATGATTGTCGCCGATTTGTATCCGCGTAGAGCCGAGAGGTATCGGATTAGAGAGGCTGGCAGCGAGGTAAAAATTATGCATTTGATATAAGCTTGAAATACAGTGGGGGACCTGATTCAATGGCAAAAAACGTACCATTTTGCATCCCAGAAGTACCAAAAATGTGGCAAAATGCTGCCCTCTCCATGTGAAAAAAAACTCCGATTTCAAAGGCGCGCCCGCTCTTTTTGTGCGGGAAAGAGCGCACACTTCAAAACGAAGTTTTTCCACTTGGAGGAGGAGGCATTTTGCCACATTTTTCGATACTTCCCGGATGCAAAATGGCACGTTCTTTGCCACTGGATCAGGTCCGTCACTGTAGACGCTTAATTTCGATTCGTTGACCTTATAAAAAGCAAATATTTTGTTTCAGACTGAAAGCCGGCCAGCTAGCACCAGAATTCCGCAAAGCCAAGAGTCCTCCAGAAATCATACCCCCAGGCACGAACGTCGCAATCGCTATCAAAGACCGATCGAGGAGGATGGCGAAGAGCAGATTTACGAAGAACCTGACACTCCGGTAAGTCCACAATCAATCTTGCATCACAAAATCCACTCTCAGCCCCCTCATCGTCATCGTTCGTATCACACTTCGCCTCAGGCCAGATACATCCCTCGTGATTCGCAGGGCTTTCGCGTGGAATACCCTCCGGATGTGGATCCTATCCGCCAAACATGGCGTCAATATACCATGGATCCTCATGCTTTCGCCTATCCCTACCTCTCATCTCCCTCCTCATCCCGCCGATTTGCATAATATATAAGATTTAGATGAATCAGACCGCAAACATTGATCCAAAGCTAATATTGTACTTCGTATGGACTTGTAACTAAATAAACATGACATATCATATAGTTTTATGGGCTACGTAAGCTAGTAAATTGAAAATTTTAGCGTTTTTTTTTTGACTAAAATCAGACCTGATGTCAAGTGTAATATAATTTTTGATGACTTTCGAAGTTAATGCCTAAGTAAAAGAGTAGATATGCCCTCAAAGCTATAACGAAGTGATCAAAAGTTCCTTCCCACCATTATCTCCCGCATAACAAGCCAGTCGCAACACGATATCCGAGCCCCGAGAACACCCATATGCCGGCCGATAAACGATAGGAAGATTTGCTCCCGGTCCGCCGCGACCACCAGACTTGTCATAAAAAACGCTCGAGAGCCCGATGGGATTTCTTCGAGTCCTCACACCCCGTCTTTTCCCTCCTCCCTCACACTCGCCATTCACTCGTGGCTTTCGGGACAAGATCTCGGGGAAATAATGGATCGAACGCACAAAAGGGGTCTTTAACCTTTTTGTTTCTTTTTCGCAAAAAAGTTTTCGACTCAATTACGGCCCTTAATTCTCGCCTGCTGGCCCGAGGGATGGGAAATTTTTGGGGGATCTTTTGACTTTTTGATGACTAAATTGTTTGCCTAAAACAAAGTGCAAAATTGATTGAAAAAGATGTTCAAAATATTTTTCAAGTCCCAAGCTTGTTTTCCAGTTTTTCTGGAACCCATTCTTACCCCATCCCACCAATTTCCGGAGCTGGATTGCCCATAAACAGCTTTCTTGGCTTTTTATGGGCGAAAAACGTAAATTTGAAGACGTCTGATAGGCAAAAAGAGTTTATCTGTGAGTCTCATCGTTACGTCATTCAAAAACTATTCGAAACGGTCTCTATACACCCATAAAATCGTGAAATTTCCCATCTTTGCCACCAAAAAACCGCGTTTATGTAGAAAAAACGTCAAATTTTATGCATTTCGCGCAGCTCTCTCGCGAGCGGATAAAATGCGGAATTAGCTCGACTTTTTCGTGTTACCCTCAGATTTTGTCGCGCTAAATGTTTCAGCCGACTTTTTCCGCCTCTTCCTCATCTTCTACGGACAAATTCCACACGGACATTCGACGTCGCAAAGTATCAATTTTTGCGTCGGAATTCGAGAATTTCTTGGGGCGAATTTCAATTCCAACGTCGAAACTAATGAACTGTGACGGGTAAATTGAGCGTTTCTTTTTTATTCTTTGGAGATTTTAGGGAGAATTTTTGGATTTATGAGGACTTCCAATATTGTAGTAGGTCTGATGTCAAAATTGAGCCAAAACTGTCAGTTGTTTTTGGCAAAAAACTCTGCAAACCTTGCCAGTGCTCTACCAAAGACTTTTCTAAACCTTTTGTCCAAGAAACATCCTAATTTTTATTGTCTGGAGGCCTTTTTTGGAGAGACTCAAAAAAGTTATGAGGTGTTCCTCGAGAATTAGATTGCTCGTCACGGAATTCGGAGCTTAAACAATGGAGTGGCACCCAGCTGGGTTTGCCATTCCTGAATTCCAAAAGAATTCGCGTTTAATTTCGCTGCTGGACAGAGGGTTTAATGAATTCATTTCTGGTGTGAAAAGTGTGGGAATCGCAAAGAAATGGGTCGAAATTGAGAGTCTAGGCAAAACTTGCTGTCTAAACAATATTGGGTGTTTAATTTATTCATTTATTTATGGCTTGAACCATATTTTATCTCTATTCTTTCATTTTGTTACCTAAAAAAGTGATATCACAGATCGGGGCGATAAATTTCCCAACTTTTGAGAAATTTTCGCGGCCGTTGACCTTGTCGAAGGTGTGATCGGACCACTTGTTGTGTTATGAGTCAGATTCTTTCTCGTTTTGCCCTCAAATGTCTTCCTCACGTGAATCCTTTCTCCGGCTGCCTTTTCCACCTTTTTTTCGATAATTTTCGATTGCTCTTATCTTGTAATAACTTTCCGAAATTCTTTCACATGATATGAGGATTAAAACTTTTACTGATTCCCCTCGATTCTGTTTTTTTAGTCGTTATTTTAGACATGATTTTTTAGGTATAATAAGGTAATAAAAAAGCTATTTACAGCGTGATTTTGACGAGAATTTTACGGGTTTATTGCGAATATCCTAAACATGTTTAATTTTACTTTTTAGTGCCCAATGAATATCAGATATACGGAGGTTTTGTAAATATTTACCATGAGCTCGTATACATCCTCATCCTCGGGCTATCGCCGCCGGCCTGTGGTCGGTTATGATCCAGAAGAACGTGCGTTGGATCGCATTACTCGTGATGTAAGTGATTTGATGTTTTTTGTTGGTTTTTAGAGGATTCATCGGATTCTGGATGTTGTACATGTTGCCAAGAGCGATTTGTTTTGAAAATCTTCGATGGGAACGATAGTTTTTGTATTATCGGCCTTACAACGGATGACTAGCGCTGTTTTCATACTCATATTCACTTAGTCTTTTGATTCTGCTGGTTAAATTGAGTTTTCTGATTAAATTTTCCGTAGAAATCCTTAGGGACTTAGTCGTCAAAGTAAAACACTAAAATCACTCTGAAAATGAAAGTTTCTGGTACTTGAGTTAATCTAATTTCAGGCCGAAGATCGGATGAGCAAAAAGCGCGAGGCTCGAGATGAAGCACGGCAATATCGTCTAGAACAACTTGAGAAGCAGATCCGAGCCACAGATGAGGCCAATTATCTTGCAGTGGTAAGTTTTGTCCGTCCAAAATTGTCCGCTTTGATGTCAAAAGGTCGCAAATGTAATGTCCATTTACGTTCACAGCCTACTTTCTCTTGTCTACGTCTTTTTTTTCGTTTTCTCGTTAACTTTCGGCGAAAAACTAATAGATTTGCGGTATTTTAATTATTCTTGCGAGATTTTTGTAGAATGGAAACGCGAAGGCGACCAAGACGAGGTCTCAATTAATCAAGGAGAAGGATGAATGCGAAAAGGAAGTGCTTAAAGTGAGTTTTATGCGTCGATTTGGGCTTGTTGCTGTTTTATGTGTTTAGGGACCGAGAATAAGATAAATTTATGTTGTTTTGGCGAGTTTGAGGGAATATTATGTGGGGAGTGGTTGTTTATTGCTCCAAATGAGGCTTAGAGGTATTTGAGCGGGATATTTTTGTTGATTTTAGAGGAAAATTTCGGCTTTGGATCAAGTGTAATATAAATTTTTCTTAGATTTATGAGTTTTTGGTCTTTTTTGGTCAGAAAAGTCAAAAAAATTATGGTTTATAAAAAAAGTTTATAAAAAGGGACTAAAATGGCATTTAATTGGGCTGAGACACACTTTCTAACAATAATTCTGATTTTTTTATTCTAGGATAAGGTCAGTGAGCTGGAAAACAAATTCGAACGAGCCATGATTCTGTATTCTCAAGTAGACAATGAGAAATCCACACTATTATACGAGATTGACCTCCTAAAAGACGATCTAGAGGAGAAAGATGAGCTCGTTTTTCAAGCAAAACGAGAGGCCAAAAACTTGGGAACGGAGGTGAAATTGCTCCAGAAGACGATAGAAGGCCTACAACTAACCCAGCAACAACTCAAAACCGAGATTGAAAAGCGAGACGAACTGATCAGAGAAAACGGGTTGTGTTTGGTGGATCAGCTGGAAGAAGAGGATCTGGTGAGCTGCAGCACGGCTTCAACAGAATTCCAACCGTAAGTGGGGGTGCTGGCTGAGAGGATAGTCAAGTTTCTTTATGAGGAAAGTGGACATAAGATCAAAATTTGGTGTTATAAAGGGGATAGGGACGTTTAGTCCTCCTATTTTATCGCAAAATTTCAATTTGAATGGTTGGCGAAGATTTTCACAATTTAATTTTATTGTAAACTGTTTCGTTTTGGATTTCATTACTCGTTTAGTTGAGATACAACAACAGTGGGGGACCTGATCCAGTGGCAAAAAATGTACAATTTTGCATCCGGGAAGGATCAAAAATGTGGCAAAATGCTTCCCTCTCCAAGTGAAAAAAACTCCGATTTCAAAAGCTCTTTTTGTGAGGGAAATGGCGCGCCCTTCAAAACGAAGTTTTTTTACTTGTAGAGGGAGGCATTTTGCCACATTTTTGTTCCTTCCCGGATGCAAAATGGTACATTTTTTGCCACTGGATCAGGTCCCCCACTGTAATTAATGCAGCTTTTTGAATTTTGTTAGACAAACTTTGGCTTAATGTATTAGGGTGAACCAAATGTTTTTGCCGTTTTTTCATGAAAACTTTAAACATAATTTTACAACAAATGAAAACCAGTTAAGTTTCAAAGTAAAGGCCATTTGAATCTATGGCTTGAACCCATCTATAGGCAAGTTGTTCGATCCCGCTGCGGTACCACTCCTTTTTCTTAGAAGCGAAAAACTCGCGGCATCCGTCTTCGACATCGTCCAGATCATTGAAGCTACGACCACGCAAAAAGTGTGCCATGGAGCGGAAAAGGTGATAGTCGTATGCCACAATGTCCAGACTATTTGCTGGATGTGAAAGAAGTTCAATGGCGTCGAGAGTTTTGATCTTTTCCTTCGTTTGTTTGGCGGTGCGAGGTTTTGCGCTGTCTTGTTGCAGGGGTACGCGGGTTCGATTGATCAAATCGGGATATTTTTTGCCAATCGCTGCATACATTCGATCGAGTGGAGCGTAGTAGAGGTCTGCGTCGCTAGTCCGACCATTCGGAACCAACTCGAAGTGAATTACGCCTTCAAAATTGTTTTTTAAGACGTCTTGCCCTCGAGGTCCGTGTTGCCGTCGTTGAATCGTTTGAACCAATCGCGCAGTACGATCTGAGACCACATTGTAGCCTTCAACTTCGCTTATCTTCTTTACTGCTGCAGTTGCGTTGAAGCCTTGTTTTCGGTAATAACGTAAAAAAACACGAATTTCGGATTTTTCCATGTTTTTTCTACAGGTTAAAAGATTTTAAATAAAAGACCAATTAAAAATTTTAATATATATTATGATAAAGCAGCTCAAGACCTTTAAAAATATATATAATACGTTCATCTAAAAGTCTTTATTTTGTACAAAAACAATTGGACAAAAAGACACCTAAAAAACGGCAAAAACTTTTGGTTCACCCTAATATAAGTAATGTTGAGTTCTCAAAACAAATATTTTTAACATTTTTGCTGTCCAAATTACTTTGTAATAGTTGAAAAGAAAATTTTGTGAAGCGTTAAGAGCGATATCCTTTCTCCCTTGAAATTTTCAGATATTATTCATGACAAATTTAATGATTTTTGATATTAAACTTTACATACTCGAGCTGAAAATTTTCCAAACGCAGTAAAATTTTTGCGGTTTTTTTTATGAATCTAATTCTCTGAGGCCTTAAAAATTACAATTTACAAATTAAAAATATATTTTCAGCCGACCGAACTCCATGTTACTATCCCTAAATACGATATCACAAATAGAAAAGGCCATCCCTGGGCAACAAAATCTGGATGAGAAGCTCAAGAAGATGGTTGATATGGTAAGTGAACACAATTTTTATTTCTTTTGCGAAGCCTTTTTACAATTGCTATATTGTTTTAGGTATAAAATTTCATTTTTTATGGTTAATTGTCATTTTGACCCTTTTTCAGAACAAAAAGCTACGTCAACAAGTTGAAGAGACCGAACAGATCCTCTATGCCCGAAGAACCCGTCAATCCGACCATCAAAATAATATTGTAAATGGCGCTTCGATGGTGGAGATGGAGCGGGAAGCAGCAAAAACTTCCGAACTTCGGTTGCGAATTCAAGAAATGGAAAGAGAGCAGGCAACACGGCAGGGAAATGTAAGATTTTGAGGGATTTTTAACAGATTTTGTCATGATTTTAATTATTCTTGAGAGCAAAAATTTTGTTTTAGTATTCACGAGTGGAGAGCCAAATGAATCGGTACAAATCACAGGCAGAACAGTCGGAAAAAGAGTGTACCGAACTCAAATCGCAGAATCGACAACTCAAAAAAGAGGTAGGTGAATAAAAAAAATAAAAAAAAAATTTACTGGCGCTGTGTTTTTCACAGTACTAAAAATGTTATATCGGATTGTAAATTTTAAAAAAATTGAAGACCAAGAAATTTTTTCCAGTTGCGCGAGAAAGAGAACTCTTTGGAGGAGGCGAAAGAAACCAACGCCCATCTCCAGGCTCGGTTGGAAAAACTCAGAACAATGCGAAGGGTATAGCACAACTGCTGGCACTGTCTAAAAAGTTAAGCTCACAAGTTAACAAAATTTTGATTTTTTTCGTCTTGGTTCCTCCTGGTCTTTCTATTAGTTTTGATTTTTTTGGAGGTTGTCTTCTAAAATACGGAAAGTTTTGGGGCTAAAAATTGCTTTTCTTTAATGTAATAGTAATTTTTTAAAATGCGAAATTGTAGATTTTGCTAGAAAATTGAAGAAAAGTACCTAAAATTGCCGTATTTTTAGCTATTTTTTGTTATTTTCGAATTTTTTAAAAATTTTCTAACATTTTTTCTTATCTTTTTTTTTGATATCTCAAACTCCTCTCACCTTCGAATGGTACTCTAAAATCCCGTCCAAATTTTTATTCAAGGATAATATAATATTGTTCAAAACAAATCTAACAGGTTTTGTCACAGTTATTCAATAATAATTTTCATAATTTTTTCCAATATTGTAAATATTTTTCAGTCATAATTTTGGTTGTATTTTCTTATTTTGTTGTCCTAAATTTTTTGAAATTAATTTTTAGCACTTTTTAAAACATACAGTAGTTGTCAACGAATTGTCAATTTTTTTATTTCGTGTGTAACTTCACTCAGACTCAACAGAATTTGATGAGACCAAGAGTGTTTAAGAGGCTGGGAGACATGCTTTAACCCTGTAAAATTTTTTTATTTCATATCGGCCACAGGCGTGGCAAAAATTTTAAAACAAATTTTTTTGGTGGGCAACGAATTGTCAATTTTTACATTTTGATGCATAAGATCTCAATAAACCAGCATAAAAAGTCTGGAATGGAGGGTAATCAGTTGCTAGCAATCATAGTACAGCATACAACTGGTTTCAGCCATTTGTATAATCTCCTTTGCTTTCTATAGGTCGGGCACTTGGGGGTAGACCATGTACAATATAATGTCAGCCTGGGGGTTTCCAAGGCCGAAATTATTTTATATTCCGGTTTTTTATGGGTGTTTACATCTTTCTACGATAGGGAAAGTTAAAAAATTACAGCTAACAGGTTGCACTTGCGCCTTGTTACCTCAATTATGTTAATCATGGCCTTTCATACTGTTGGTCAGAGTATCAAAAAATCAAAAATGTCGCGCATTAAGATCGTTGGAGAAACCTTCTATGTTTGAGAACAAACTACACTAAAAGACAGATATTCAGTGCCTTTTACATGTCATTACCAGTACTCACGGAAGAGGTATGTAGATGGAAATATTTGGATTTACATGAATTTTCACGTCGGGTTTGCAACTCCCAGAAAAAATTATATTTCTTCAAGCCTGCGACTTCCAAAATATTTTATTTTTGTATTTAGAGATTTTTATAAGCATTAAAAATATTAGTTAAACGTAGAAGACGCGCAATAAAATTATTAATATACTCACCACCTTAGTGTGGCACAAGAATTAATTGGACCGTCAGAATCTCACCCGGAAATTTCAGGGCGTTGAGACAGGTAATGAAATAATTTGTAGAATGTCGTTAGTTTGGCCGTAAAGAAGGATTAAATGCACCTATGCCCCCAGTCGGCAAGAAAATTATCGATTTTTGGGCGTAACACAGAGTTCAGATGACCAAAAATAATATTATCTGACGAATGTTTGACCCGTAGCCCCTCCAAGTTGTAATCCGGTGCGAGTTCGTTAAATATAAGCAATAATGTTCCATTAAAAACCGGAATACAAAATAATTTCGGCCTTGGAAACCCCCAGGCTGACATTATATTGTACATGGTCTACCCCCAAGTGCCCGACCTATAGAACGCAAAGGAGATTATACAAATGGCTGAAACCAGTTGTATGCTGTACTATGATTGCTAGCAACTGATTACCCTCCATTCCAGTCTTTTTATGCTGGTTTATTGAGATCTTATGCATCAAAATGTAAAAATTGACAATTCGTTGCCCACCAAAAAAATTTGTTTTAATATTTTTGCCACGCCTGTGGCCGATATGAAATAAAACAATTTTACAGGGTTAAAGCATGTATCCCAGCCTCTTAAACACTCTTGGTCTCATCAAATTCTGTTGAGTCTGAGTGAAGTTACACACGAAATAAAAAAATTGACAATTCGTTGACAACTACTGTATATAAAAAATAAAAAGACAGAAAAGTATGAATGGCTTCTTATAAAATAAGACATTAAAAATGAAATGTTGCCAAGGAGAATATAAATCTTGCCAGGCAAGTTTTCTTGAGCCGCTCTTTTTTTGTTTGTAAAGGTCTTTGTTTTTTGTAATGGAATTTTGTTTTTTTCTGGGAACCCGACTACATAATGTTGTCATTTTTCTCGAATTTTTTTCTTATTTCTTTGCCCCTCATCATTATTTTGCTTCGAAATGAATCAGACGTTTTTGGATTCCTTTTCTTATTTGCAAGTGTAATTAGTGTTTTATTTTTTGTCAGCCATGTGAAGAAATCTCAGATGTGGAAAAGAAGGTCGTAGAAGTGGTCCAAGTGAACCCACCAGGATGTTAAGAACTCCAAAAGGCTGTTAATTTTAAACATTCTTCCGTTTATGTAAGGGAAAGGAAAGTGGAATTGGCACGTTTCCTTCAAAGTGGTCGTTTTTGTCTCTACGCCATTCTTGAGAACAATGGAGTCACTTGGATCGCCTTTCCGGCATTTTTTTTTTTGTTGAGTCTGGCGCGGCAGGAGCTTTTGAAGATATCTGAATACGCATTCCGACGCAATTTTACAAGGGAAGTCACTTAAGTCACGGATCGATTTTTAAAAACGACTGTTACGGCAATATAGAGGGTGGAATGGGGATATCGAATCTGAAAACCGCTACCTCCACCGGCCTCCGGGAGCCGAGATAATCAACCAACAAGTTTGACCAAAAAAAAGTTGCCCCGAAAAGCTCTCCTTTTCGAAAAAAGGAAGGCAACGAACCGAATGGTCCGGTGGTCTGGAAGCGCGCTTCCGGGCCTTTGCCTTTTCAGGTTCGAGTCCGCATGAGTTCGAACTTGTAGACAATTTATCAAACTTTCTGTAATCCAGCAAATATACTGGTAAGATAAAATTTTCTATTTTTCCATATTTTGCGATGAAATTTCACTCTGTTTCAATTATAAAGTTAATTTCGACGTAAAATATGGAAAAACTAGAAAATTTATTTTACCAGTATCTCTGGTGAATTACAGCAACAGTTTCGTAAATTTTTTTATATAAGTCCGGACCCAAGCGGACTCGAACCTCAAAAGGTGAAGGCCTGGAAGCGCGCTTCCAGACCACCGGACCATTCGGGTCGCTCTCCCTTTCCTTTCGGAAAGGAGGCCTTTTCGGAGGGAATTTGGCAAAACTTGTTGGTCGATTATCTCGGCTCCCAGAGGCCGGTGGAGGTAGCGGTTTTCAGATTCGATATCACCATCCCACTCTTTCCATCGCTGTATCAGCCGCTTCGCAAAATCGATCCGTGATTTAAGTGACTTCCCTTGTTAGTCATCTTACCGGGCTTTTCTCACTCGGGAAGAAGGTCAAAAATAAGACGAATTTGGTGTTAAAAAAGTGCTGCTGACGAGGAAAATACTTTTATGGGGGCTCCTACTTTTTGACGGGACATATGTCAAAAAATCCAAGAAATTGTGCTGATCAAGCATGTGTAAAAATTAGCTGCCCATTTTTTGGTTTAAGGGTCAAAAACGCCCAAAAACTCATTTTTTGGGTTAGCTAGTTATCAGCTGAGGCGCGCAACCCTGTTGTCATTTTGAGCGAAAATCGGGCCCGATCGGTGGCGGCAAAAAACCTCGGAATGCTGTGCGTCGCAAAAACGCCGTTTTGCTACCTCCTCTCTCGCGGAGGTAGCGAAAACGCCGATTCGCTACCGAGACCACGTCGCAAATCGATCATTTCGCTACTTTTTGAAATTGGTAGCGAATTCAGCAAACATTCTCGAGCTCGAAAAAAATTCTTATTCCTTCGCTCTTATATGTACAAAGCCAAACTCTTTTTTATGTTTGCACGGTGCTTTTTCACACAAATTTCGATGCATTCTTGATCTCGTGTTTGTTGACTGGAACAATTACATCCAGCTTCGTAATGAACGGTGACCCGAAATCAAGGCATAGTTTTGTAACATTCAATCAAGAATCAACGAATTCTCCTCTCTTTTAATAGTGAGATCAGTTTCAATTGTGGCATGTTTTGTGCGGCCCAAAAATGACCTTATCAATGAATAATTGCTTTCTTCCCTAGCTGTCTTATCTAAAAGTACTTGTGCGTTGTCATCATAGAAGCCACATCAAAACAGGGAGTGGTGAGCAGATTAACCACACCCAATCTTTTTGTCGGGTTCGTCATTTTTTGGATCTTTTACAGCAATATGGGCGATGAGGGTGTCTTTGGAGTGAGGGTTTGATCGTTTTTATTTTAATGTGGAGGAAAATGATTGGAATATTAGGTTTCAATTGTAATGGGAAATTAGCAACACGCTTCGTTTAGGGTCGCCAAACATACAGTCTTAATTTTTGCTACTCTCATTACTGCATTCAGTGCGCCCTGCTTTTACCCTTATCTTTCCTGTTTCGCATTACGTTCTGCACCCCGTAAAAAACAATTTAATTAGCATCTGATAACGACCGTTGTACTCATCGTCTTGTTATGCGGTTTTTAGACGGTTTCAGGACCCTCTGGATGCGTGGACCGTCTAAACTTGGATGGTCGATTATTGGCGGTATCTCTGCCTTAATCTTACTTGGATACAACCTTGGTTATGGCAAGCATACGTTTGAGAACTTGAATGTGTTGACAGATCCGATTAAAAAGATTGACGAGAAATGTCAGTGTGAAGGAGAGAATGTAAGCTAAATTTTCATTGGTTTTGAGGTTTAAGTGCAGATAAGAATCTCCTTGATCAGTCAAACAAACGGCAACGGAGAAAAGAGGCTCAAGTTCTGTCCCTGTTCCAAGTGATAAAAAATATCGAAAAAGTTATCAAAGAGACCTAAATTTGATAACAAAAAGAGTATCATGAAGGCATAAGGAAACTGTTGGTTTTAAAAAAAGGATAAATGTAAGAAATTTCTCATCAAAATCAACAGATTTTTATGTCTTTGTGAAAATTTTTTGATATCAAATTTTTGAGACATTTAGCCCTGTCTTACTTGGTTCTCATATTGGCGTCCGACGCGCTCCATAAAATAATTTTTACGCAATTTTAACGCAAAGTCCTTGCAGTTCTGCTTCCCAGGCCTCAATGAATCACTGGAGCGAGAATATGGCCGACCATTTCCCTGCGAATATTATAATTACCTAAAAGATTTTCACATTACGGAAGCTGATATCACCAGTTTGAAAACAAATGGAATCAATAAAATTGATGACAACTGGATCCCTGTATTTGGAAGTGCCGCGTCTTCGGACCATTTCCCAGAGCTTCGAAATTTAGTGTTAGATGTTCGAAAGAGAGTTCCCAATTCGAAGATCATTATTTATGATTTGGGGTTGAAACAAACTGAGGTAATGTTTTCGATATGGTTTGTATAGACTTCGATTTCTAGGCCGACGAAGTCAAATCCTGGTGCAATGTTGAATATCGAAAATTTGAATTCAAAAAATATCCGGCTCATGTTCGACACCTCAAAAACTACGCTTTTAAATTAGTGATTGCCGAGATTTTACAAACAGAGCCGAATTTCTTCTTTTATGACAGCAGTGTGAGGCTGGAAGGTGACGTTCACAAAATTATACCGAAAGCGCTGAAGGAAGGAAAGATCTTGCCGTTTATGAACTTCAACTCGGCTGGGCATAGTGTGTATGCCACAATTCATCATGGTAAGGTCTTTTGTTTAAAACATGGACTTTCTTTTTTGATGCTCTCGCAGGAGAAGTGCTCGAAACTTTTCTGATCAACTCAAATTAGAGTAGAATTTTCTAATTTATACGGGGAATTTTTAAGGCGCGCTTTGCAGAAACCGGCGTCGTCTTATAGGCGAATGTTATTCGAAATTTGGCATTTTTTTACAAGTAAAGGATTTTTCACCACGTGTATTCCTGTATTGCTCTCTTCAGGTATGCTCAGCTACTTGCCATTTCCCCAAGAAATTCTGTACGGTCGGGAATATCAGAGTCTCCTGTTCGTCTCCGATTCAGTCTACACTCGTCGATTTATCCGCTGGTTTCTCCTTTGTGTCCTCACCAAAGAATGCATATCGCCCAAGGGCGCCACTGTTTCGTGCGACCTCTCCGTGAAGGAGCGAATCCACAATAAGATGGGGAGGAATTGTCATCGTTTCGATCAAAATTTGTGGAATTTAATTCAACTCGGATATCTGTTTGACCCAGTTGAACAGGGTGCGGTGTCGTTGGGATTGGTCGATAAGTGGGGAAATGGCGCTGAATTTATCAAAAATGTTCTGAAGAAAATAGATGACCGATATGTGCCGTTGGGGCTGAAGTTCTCAGTGAAACGAGGCGATCAGACCAGAGCCCCGATCAAAGTTGAATGCAACAATTTGGTTCTGTAATTTATTGCCTTATTTATCAGAATTACGGGTAACTTTGGAAATTTTAAAATAAACTTGCTATTTTATTGCTTTTGTTGTACGTTATTGAAGCTTGAATTTTTTTCGAAATCGTTTAGAAAAAGGACAAAGATTGTTAAAAAGTAGAAAAATTGCAAAGCTCCTGTCGCAGAACTTTGCCATTTTTCTATTTATTGGTGAGAAGAACCGAGTATTCCAGTAGTAGCTTTTGTTGCTCTCCATCCTCCTTTTCACGGTCGTAAGTCGTTACAATTTGAATCGTTAAAACGATTTGTCTGCGGAATAATTTTTCACTCTTCTAATGAAGCCCGCCCAGTGGCCAAATGCGTAAACGCGGCCTTGGTGGTCTAGTCGTCGGTGCAGTTGTTTTTCTGATCTTCCTCGGTTATCGGATTGATTATAAATACGACACTTTTTCCCAGTTGGTCGTGCGGTCGGATCCCCTAAAGGAGATCAAAGAAGGCTGTGGATGTCAAGGGGAAAATGTGAGGATTTTTTTGCATTCTTTGAAATTTTTAGAAAGCAACGATGGTTGAAAGTGGAAAGTGTATAAAAGTCCCCAATGATATTTGTTTTAATTTTTCATTTGTATGTATTAGACCCTGGCCACAAATGGATTCCGAAAAATTTCAGCTCGGAATTAGAAACCGAATGATTTTTTTAGTTTACAGAAATGTGGTAGTCTCTGAATGGAATTGCAAATTAAAAGTCGCCTTTAATCAGAAAAAAAACTTGTTTTAGTTCTGTTTCCCCGGCTTGGACGAGTCTTTGAACCGAAAGTATGGCCAACCTTTTCCTTGCGAATACTACAAATACCTCATTAAATTTCATCTTACCGAATCTGATATTAGCGGACTAAAAACGAATGGAACCGACGAAATTGATGACAATTGGCTCCCTGTGTTTGCCAGTGCCGTGTCGTCAAACCATTTCTCGGAGACGCGAAGTTTTGTATTGGATATTCGAAAATGGGTGCCAAATTCAAAAATTATTATTTATGATTTGGGATTGGAGCGAAAGGAGGTGACTTTTTACCCATTTTTCTTCAGATCTTCCATTTTTTAGATCAATGAAATCCAGTCCTGGTGCAATGTGGAATATAGAAAGTTTGACTATGCGAATTATCCTCCTCATTTCCGGAATCTGCTTAGTTACGCGTTTAAAATAGTAATTGCCGAGATCTTACGGACAGAACGAAACTTTTTCTTCTATGACAGCAGCGTGAGGCTTGACGATAATCTACATAAGATGATTCCGAAAGCGATCAAAGAAGGCAAAATCCTGCCTTTTATGAACTTTAACGCAGCTTGGCATAGCGTTTACGCAACTCTCGCCAATGGTAAGTGATTGTTGTGAGCTTCTTATTGAGCGTTTCCAGGCACCCTCGACTATATTCCCCTCCCAAATGAAGTCCTCTACGCAAGGGAATATCAGAGTATCTTGTTCATATCCGATTCCGCCTACACTCGTCGATTTATTCGCTGGTTTTCTCTCTGCGCCCTCACTGAAGACTGCATATCGCCTAAGGGCGCTATTGTTAACTGCACTTTACACGGGGATCCATTGCACGACAAGATGAATTGTCATCGATATGATCAAAATTTGTGGAATATGATCCATCTTGAGTTTTTGTTCCATCCCATTGAGCGAGGGGCGATTTCGCTGGGATTGATCGATAAATGGGGCAATGGCACAGAATTTATCAGGAATGTCCTTAGGGAAAGAGATAGCCGGTATCTTTGGTGGGGATCTAAATTTCTGGTGGTAAGAGCGGGGAGCCAAACTCCAATCAAAGTGGAATGTGCTGAACAGGCTAATTCGTCAACCACTGCAGTTTTAAAAGAAATTTTGCTTTAATATTGCGTACAATGAAAAAAATCGCAATATTAGAAGTAGGTATAATAAGACAAATCGCTAAAAAATTTTTATTTCTCTATGAATATTTTTTTTCGCAACCGGTGTAATAAATTTATAATCTTTGATAATTCGGAGTGAGGTTATTAACCAGTTCTGGAGCCGGAGCGGACGGTGGAAGACCCGGGGCTTTTGGAACCGCGGGTTCTAGTGGAACGGGCAGGGCTTGGTTCTGATTGGTTTTTCCTTCCTTTGTGAGCTTTAGCTTGATAAAGCGAGTCCTTGAGTATCTTCGCTCCGACCTTCGGTTGCTTCGCTGGGATCTTTGCCTTCAGTATTGGAGCCGCTTTCCGAACCTTCCCCATTGCTTCCCTTGGTGGGGTAAGCTTCTCCTCGAATCCCGCGGTTTCTGGAACCTGTCTCTTACTTTCATTTTTCTTCTCGTCCACCTTGGTTTTGTAGCCCTTGGGCAAGAGAGCGGGATTCAGATTTGGCACGACGCCAGAATGAGGAATGCTGACTCTATCCAAGAGCTGGCTGATCTCCTCGTCCTTGCGAATGGTGAACAGCAAATGGCGAGGGTTGATGCGCTTCATTCTTGCGGCCTGAAATTGACATATTAGAAAATTACATGCAAAATGTTTTTGTAAAATTTAATCTAGAAATTACAATAACCCAAAGAAAAATCCCCAAATTCAAAAAACGAATCCCTTCACTTACCTCGGATTCCAGGCCGGCAAAATCCAAAATTTCACTCGTCAAATATTCCAAGACTCCACTCAAGTAAACGGAGGCGTTCGTACGGATAGTCTTCCTAGTTGCACGCTGGAGCTTCTTGTGGATTCTGGTGACAGGGAATACAAGATTTGCTCGATGGGATTTGGTGAAGCGAGGTTGGCCTCTGGCAGCGGCGAGCTGAGGCGGCTGGACCATCTTCGATTCGCAGCGCAAAAAAGAATGGCCAGTTTTGTGGTGGCTTAGGAATGAAAGATAAATTTTATGAACTTTTTGAACTTTGGTAGAAGACTTTGAATTTTGGAATGAAAAATTTGCATAAAAAATCTTTTACTCCCCCGTCTCATTTATTAATCAAAAAGTTATCGTATTTTATCTCCATGTTCATGATGATGGCGATGTCCATTCCCATGTTCATGTTGATGCGAGTGCCCATTTTTAGCGAAGTCTAGGAGCGTTTGATTGTGAGGGAGTGGTTTGACATCCGGATATTGCAAATTTTGCTCTTCAAGAGCATTTCCAAAGCAAACTGAAGAGTTTGGAAAAGGATCCGGGTCTTCAGCTGGATAGTAAAACATAATTTGGAAATTGCACATCTCATGAGAGTTTGTCATCCTGTAAATGTCAATATTAATCCATTTTGAAGTTCCGCAGAACGTTTTTTTAATTAAGTTTTGTTTTAAAAATTTTTTGTAATATGTGGCGCAGAAATTGTAAAATTTCAAAAATTTACCCCATCTGAAGTCGTTCTCTCTCCCCAGTGGTGTTGTAGATGCATTGCGCTGCCAGGATAGCACCTTGTTGCGCGGGAACAGGATCGATTACCTTTTCGAAACTCTAAAACATAATTTAGGCCAAAGTTTATCGGAAATTCGGGTTGCTTTGTAGCTAAATTCTTACTTGTGGCCATAGAGGATGTCTCTTTCCCACTAAATGGGGTTTGTGTTTCGGATCGATAATAAACGCCGACACGATTTTTCCATGGTCATGTGTGTGTACTCGGTAGTAAAATGGAATCGCCTTTGTGTTGCCTGTAATAAAAAATGTTTATCATTAGTTTTATGCCAATTAGGAAGCCAAATCAATCTAACTTACTTCTGTAATGACAGCTGATATTCATCTTGTAATTCTCTTGTCCTGGTGGTATTTCATCGCCAGACACGAACAAATACTCGACGGCATTGTACTTGGTAGGCTCTTTACTCATTACCAAGGTCAATCCAGAATTGTCCTTATAGTCTCCCGTCATTTTATTTGCATAGTGAATAATCATTACCAAATATTGGATAGAATCGTTTTCATGGCCCACTTTGTAGGCGACATCTTGAGGCAAACTTAAATTCCCGGCATTCTTGGCCCAAGAATACAGATATCGCTCTCGTCCTAGGCAGGTTGCGGGGCCTTCATTTAGCCCAATGGGGTGATAAGGTTGTTCACAGCCGGCCAACATGATATGGTGAACATGTTCGGAGCTGGCGTGGGGTTCGTAACGAACTAAAATACGACAATATGTGGTTAGAAAAATACCGTAGTAAAACGAAAATAGGACCATTTGAAGGTGAAATATGCTTCTAGAAACTTACTTATATGGCCAGCAGGGGCTTTGATGGTCAGCGAAATGTATTGGTCATCCTGAAAAAGTTCCTTGTTTCGGTAAAAGTTCTTTTTATCAAAAATTGACAAAAGTTAATCTTTTATTAATAATTGTTAAAATAATGCAGCGTCACTCACATACTCCGTCCTGAACCCATTCGCTCTGATGTCGTGGCGAAAGACTGTGGCCTCGACACCATTTCGAAGAACGCCGAACAGGAGAAGAAAGGAGATGGGCTGAACGAACATCAGAATCGAAATGAGGGAAAGGAGTTCGATTGAATGCATAATCAGGCAGAACGATATGTTCAAAATTACGTGCGAAAACATGGTGTGGGAGGGGAGGGAGACATGATCGATCGTACAATGGGCAGAAAATTAAACTATTCTAACGTGATATGGGCATAAATTAAAATTTAAAATCATGAAGTGTTATCGTTTTTTTGTGATATCGATAAATTTTTTGATAATTATGGGCTGATATTGTTATTCTGCAATTTATAGCCTTAGGGTAAAATTAGGAATTAAGCGTAGAATATTATGCCAAAAATACGTAGGGCGCAGCTCGCCTGCCGCAAGACATACCACACTTCGCTAAAACCATGTAACAATATTACAAGGGGGCAATACAAAATTTATTTTTACAATCAGATATATCAGACTTTCTTTCTTTTTTCTCTACTTTTTCCCTTCTTGGAGCTCTTCTTTTTGGAGGAATTTCCCTCATCGGTCTTTTCCGATTTGCAACTGTCCACCTTCTCTAATGTGTCATCCTCGTCCGACCTGGACTGGAAGAAGCCTTTCTCGATCTTCTCCTGTCTCTCCTTCTCCAATTTCGCTTCAATAAGCTTCTTCTTCTGGGAGTTGAAATCGGCCTGAAATGGAAATTAGAAGATTTTTCAAGGGGGGAAAATGACGACTAGTAAACATTGTAAAATCATATACCTCAAGAGGTTTGGCCACTGACTTCTTTAACTTGGATTTCTCTTCAGGCTCGGCCTTCTTTGTCGCTGGAAGTCAAAAAATTATTTCGTCAAAAAATTCTCAAAATTCTGCAAAAGCAATCCCAGAACTTCCGCCTTAAAATACTCCAAACACCGACCTGGGGCAGCCATTTTCGAGCCACCTTCCATTGGCTTCACATTCGAGCTGGTGCTTCCTTTTGAGGCGTTTTTACTTCCAGCTCCAGTTGGAGGAGCCGGCGGCGCTTTGGCCTTCTTCTTACCGCACTGACATAGCAGTGCTGCTGCGACGGCTGAGGCTAGCCAAATCAGCAGACATGCTTGCTGAAAGAAGAGGAGGAAATAAGAAAAAAATAAAAAAAATAATGTATATAGTAAAATCGTGGTAGAGATAAGGAACATACCCATAACATTTCCTCCATTGGCTCGAAAGCAGCGGGATTACCGCACTGGGAGAGTGATCTTACCACCAATGACAAGAATTCTGTGTAAATGAAAATTTTCCGAAGGTTTGTCGCAATTTTTGAGAAATTTGAATTTTCGTGGGAAAATTGTGTTGTGTAAAATTTTGTTTTTTTTTGGGGTTTTTGGGATTTATGTTATACAAGATTATGCCATAGGGGATCAGCTTTTTTTAGCAATGTGATGTTTCAAAGTTTAACGCGGAATTTGAGGGGATTCCTGGGGATAAGAAGATTTACAAAAGGTCGTAAAACCAAAAAAACCTAAACTGACTTTGCTTTTACACACGTAAGAGGTCTTCTTGGAAAAAAGTCAGAAATTGAAGTCAAAAATTACTGGTACAAAGATTGTTATCGAACATTACAGACGCCATCGAGAAATTCAAAATAATTTGGCTATTTCGGCTTCCCCAATTTTCCATAATCTGTCTCCTAAAAGGTCATTGAATTTTACGGCTGGTCCTCCCAAGTGAGAACTGACATTTTCAGCAATCAATTTTGTCGTTAATTAATCAAAAACCTGAATTTGGGGATTTTGGTGAGCCACTATTTTCTCGAATGTTCAAAAAATCCTCCCCAGTTCTTTCATTAAATTAACACTTTTACTGTAATTTATAAAATTCTCAAAAGAATAATCCGACCATATGAAATCTCCATACAGTTTTTAAACCGGCAAAAACAAGACTACCGGAATGTATGTAATCTCAAAAATCCGGATTTCTTAACAATGTTAATCCGCACAAAACTACAGAAGCCTCAACATACCTCGAATTGTGCCTTGCTGATTGAATTTTAATGAGATTAATCCGCCTACTGTTTTTTTGTTCAGACTCCCCATAGGAAAGGATTTGGCCGCATTTGGACAGTTTTTTGGGGATGACATAAATGCTAAGTGGAATTTAAAGGTTAACCATTAATTAGACAATTATTTAATAATCAAATTAACTGTCTGAGCAAGCCGGATTTAGAGTAATTCGCCGGATTTGTCGGCATGATAAATTTTGGAATTTTGAAAATTGTAATTTTTTTTGATGAGTATTTGCGACACCGTGGAGAGTGAGTTGAAGAATAGAAAGGCTTATGAGGACATCATCCGCCAAAAAATCACATGCCAAGTGGAGAATTTATCACAGAGAGAAGAGCTTTTTGCCGTACATCTAAAATCTGAACCGTCGCACTTCAAGAACTTTTCCAGTGTTGGTTTTTGAGCAAAAACTCTACATTTTTCCGTAGTTGAACGTATGCTGGTTTGCAAATTATTCAAAGCCCATTGTGCGACATGGTGGAATATTTTATGGGCTTTTGTTGCATGTTCTTTTGCTGCGCTTTTGATATTTGATAGTGGGTAATGTCCCGACCCGGATCCGTAATTGAATCATTTGAGAATTTGGGGACGAGTGGGTCGTAAAATTCCATTTGGGAAATGTCAGCGGGTCAACAGATGGCATAATTCAATCAAACAGTGTGCCAGAAAGGTGTTTGTTTTTGGGTATAAAAATTGGATCGTACAAACGGGGGCCGCAAATTTTAAAATTTTTATCTCATTTTCCAGGGATAATATAAGACTATGTTTATAGGCCTTTAAAGATTTGATTAGATTCAGCAACTGTAGGAATTGCAACCAAAAATTACAAGTTGAGAACCTCGTGTATACCTTCAAAAATGAAGGCTTTGTTCCAAGTGTCATTAAAATCCAAGCTTCCCGCTATTAGCTGAATATTTTTTCTCATTTTGATGCCAACTTTCCGGGAAGAAATTTGACCTATTTTTTGCAGACTTTGCAAACTTCCAAGCGAAGACCCTTCTTGTTGACCAGAAATCCTTCAACCTTTGGCCCGAAATATCTCCTTTATCAAGCATACTTAGAAGACGTCTGCTCTTTAGCCCCTCGGCCAATTCATTCTTCATCTCTTGCCTCAAATGTCTAGCCAAATTCCAAAAAAGAGGCTTGCAAATGTCGAAAACATGGGGTTTTGTAATTTCCGTTTTTCGACTTTTTGTAACTTTCAAACTTTGAGACATGCAGCGCAAATGCCAAAGTGTCATTTAGAGATTTGTTCGAAACCCGATTTCACGGAATCTCCGTGAAAAATTTCCGTCAAATCTCCGGAAATGACTCAATGACGGGTATTAGAAGATAATGATATTAGCCCCCCTGTCTTCCTGTCCGAAGCCATTTGACCCCGACCTTTGAAATCTTTTTGGTATTTGCAGGGGAATAAGTAATGAATAAGAAAGAAGACATCTTGTTAGGCTAATCCTGACATTTAACGCGTCGCTCTTCTGGGAAATGGAAATCAGCTTTACAATAGAAAAGGGAGGAAGAATATTGGGCGGGGAATATATAAGGCGGCGGAATCCGGACGGACACCAGACGGTGGACCTTGTAATTTATTAATTAGCGGACGTCTAATTTATAGAAGGTTTTTATTTTTGGCGGTTTTAATTTGCAGGTACTGTAGGGTGGAAGCTGTTGTCTTATGGAGAAATGAATTTTTGCTTTTGACGAGGGCTCTCGGAGATTTTTAAAAGAGTTGATCTTCTTATTTCCATTGTTTCTGCAAAGCGCGGTCAATAATTTTTATTCAGAAAATACGAAGAAGAAATTTTTTTATAAAATAATAAGCCAGATATTGAAAAAAGATTTTGGTAATGTTATATTTGACAAAGAATTAAATTATTATGTGGGGCTTTAGCAGGTGTTCAAAGTTTGCAAGTCCGGCGGCTACTTTCTGGTGAAAAAAATTTTTGTTCAGGGCCTGAGGCAAAATTTTTCTTTGTGGAAAGACATTGAATTTACAGCCAAAAAACCGACTTTTCTCTTACCGTTTCTCTTTATTTTTGAATTTCGTACCTTATCCGCGAAAATTAAAGTCTTGTGTGCTGTGAAGCACGAGTTATGATAATTTTGTAACGACTATGCCTACATAAAACGGTAGGGCTAAAATCTGACATTCTGATTTGAAACTACTAACTACTGTGTAATACAAGAATTTTTCCTTTCAATTCATACATATTAATACTCTTTGGCCTAAGCGAAATGTTGTATTTTTAGGCCGCGTTTCGAACAATTTTTTAAACCTATCCTATTTATTTTGACTTTTCGCACTCCTGCCCTTTTCAAATCTCCCAAAAAGCCCCTGTTGAACTCTGAGACATCACTTATCCCGTGGCGAGGAAATTTGATCTCAAAAAACTTAATCCCCATCAAAGCATGATACTCTCCACCGCTTCAAATTTTCGTATCTCCAGCAAAAATTTCTTTGTCTTCGCTTTGCACCCAATTTCAAAACCCATTTATCCGTGGAATCTCGGGGTTCTGTGAAAGTGGCCAAAACAGCTTGGTGGCATTTCACGGCCTGACGTTCGGACCGTAGCGCATTTGAGGGCCCGATTATCCGCGAATTCCTTCGGACAGAATCAACAGGATTAGTGTTGTGGACGTAATTGCGGGTAAACAAGTGTTGGACTTGACTTGACTCGGAAGAACGGGGAGTTTTGTGAATACGAAACAGATTTTGGCCGTTAAGCAATAATTTTTGACAGTTTCGCCGACTTCTGGCTCAAAATTTCTGTTCGTTTCTTTATACTGCGACCTAGAAATCTAGCTTCAGTTTACCCTCAATTTTTGCATAATTTGATCAAAAATGAAAGGTGGTAAATTATGTAGAGCAAGCTGAAATTAGAGAGTAATCCTTGCGCTATCAAGTTTCAAAACAATTATAATCGTCATCCTGAGGGACCTAGGCATCAAAAATTCAGAGACGCCATTTTATGTTCTGTGCTGTGTTAACCTACACGTCCCCCAACCCCGCTCGTTTTACAGAAAACAGACGAAAGATATTCGAATATTTTCAGACAAAAGGATAGGATTTCAAACCAACAAAAAATCCGTTGAAAACGTAATGTTTACTTGAACTTATAACCCAAGAATTTTCGGCCACATAATTCCTTACGAGCATGTAGAATTTGTGCGGGAATTGGTTTCGAATATTATTTACGTGTTTTACACATTTGTTTATATGCGTGCATGGCATTCTCCATGCTAAAAAGTCATCTTCAGCAGAATATTACACTGACGACCTTTGCGGGACGCAGACTTATGACTAACCTTCTCCAAGAGAGCATTAAACTCGCTTGTTCACGTGCTTGTTTTTCTCCACCGAGGCCTAATCTGAATCATTGTGATTGGAAATGGCATATTTTTTGAAGGGACCAATTGAAACTTTATGAAGATAATTGAAATATTTGAGATAATTAGTAGCAATTGTCAAAGCCAAAAGCCACGTAGTACTCTGCTATTTAAGCGGGAAATACTTTGTGTATTTTACATTATGACATTTGTTTTTGTAGTAATCTGAGAGCAGAGGGTCACCGGAAAGGCGCAAAGGTTAGTACAAATCAGAGGACTGAGCGAGGACGAGTTTTGTAGCCAAACAATTCGAGTGGCCGCAGTGATAGGCAGGTCGTAACGTGTTGTGCTAAACCGGTTCGCAGAATCCTGCATTCTGCTCATAACAATTACTACATACTCTGTAGGCACTTGAAAAGAACATACGGGTCGCAGAAATACATTAGGCTTGGGTTTCAATCAATTATTCCGAGAAAAATGAACTCGACATAGTCAGCGGATTGTATGCGACCTTTTGATAGGGGTACGAGACGAAAAATACTCCAAAATTCCAAGACTAAATGCCGTCTCGTGGCCACTGCGAGGTCCGTTTCCGCCTTCAGCTGAGCTCTGAATATTTCATATGTCCTTTGGAACCGCTTTCCAATTGATACATCATATTCCATTACCAACACATATATGTATACTGTCCACCCTCACTTTGCGTCATTTTCGATGAAATTCGAAGCCGAAAATTTTAAATTACCGATTAACGGGACAAAAACCAGGCAAAATTTGCACTGGATTTTGGAATTCTACACTCGTCACTTTCCTGCCTCGTGTTGATATGGTATTCAATTCGAGCTGTGTTAATTTTAATTGTCCAAAAATATTCGCAGAAGGTGACGCCTATTTTTGTGCATGATGCGGGCATTTCTGTCGACCTGGATGGCATTCTGCCCGCGCTGAGCGCATAATTTATTTCTGGCCACTGCCATTCGGCTAAAGCGGGTGGTCAAGGACGGCCTGACATTCGGCGCCAAGTCCTGAAATTTGTGGAAATGTTAGGGCGTGGTTCGTAGCTACTATTTAACGAGTTGCAAGGCCGGGATACATGTGCTATGCGTTCGAGAAAGCGTTTAAGGAGCGCACTTTAGGACCACGCTGGTCCGTGCTTTGGCGGGAGGATTGGGTTCGCACTACACGGGAAACCAACTCATTCATTCCGCGGAATATTTAGCAGGTCGCTGGACTTCAAAAATGAATATTTTTTTGTTTGGCTGGTGCAATTTGTTTTTCATAACAGATTAACGTGTGATACAGCGGAAGCCGCGGTCCTTGGCCGTGTTTGGGCCGTGCTATTTTTAAGGTTCTCCAGCGAAAAGATGCCATGCCATTTCCAGATTCCGTGAATTACGTCGTTTTTAGCATTCTTATTTATTTATTTGTTGGCAAAAACGCCAAAGTGTGGCAGTTCCAAATGACATGCTATTTCTTTAATCCATTCGTCTTTTGGCATTTCGCCGCGTAATTATGGGTATGATGTTCCATACAATTACATATAACGTATAATTACATATAAAATTTATTGAACACGGAAAGAAAAACAGGAATTACTGACTGTAATTTGTTGGTATTCAGAATGAATGGCAACGAAGGGAGGATTATTCACTTGGAATTGGCAAAATGAGATTAGAAATCCTTTTGTTTACCTGCGGGAAATCCGTATTTTGGAAATCATTATTGTTATCGCCGTAAGATTTTAGAGGCAGCTTAATCTATTCGCTTTAGATTCAACCTAATACCGATCGGAAATGTCATATATAGATAACGGACGTGTTGTGAGAGAATGTTGCGAATAATCCCTTTGCTTCTCTGTCCAGCAAAAGTGATCTCTTATCTCTCCCTATTTGATGAACCCATCTCTTTTCTCAAAGGCGATTTCATATGTACAGAACCAACCGCAGATAACGAACGTATTGCGTTTTGTCGTTGTACCATAATGCTTACAATTGCAAATGTGTTTTGTTTGTGGGGTGTGTCTCCACAATATCTCCATGCTCCTCACAAAAACCGATTACCGATTCAATAGCCACTCAAATAATGTCAAGCACGCATTTCAATTAAAACGTGCCGTAATGTCACAACCGGGACCACGGTGCTCTTTTTGCTGTAACGTTGGCTAGGCTAGACTAGGGAGGAAAAAACAAATGTGACACTTAATTTGATGTTGGCCTTATTACTAATACAAATTATCTATCCGTGGAAAACAGGCAAATGGCACGCGACCGCGTAAATGCTGCGCTTGCCAAGCACAATTTCCTCGTTCCCTTGGGGTTACTTGAGTAAACTTTTGCCTGAAAAATAAACTTTTGCCGCAGACACAGCTCGAGTGTACTTTTGGGGAATTGGGTGTTGACAAAACACTTGCGATAAGGCCATCATTATTTTAATGTATTTGAGTGATTGCAAAGGCGATACAAATCAGCTTAGGAACCAGTGCGACCTTTGCAATGAAAATATTAATGGGGGTTTCTACTAAAAAAATATAGGCTAGCCTTAATTAGAACGTAGACATTTACAGTTTTACTTTGTTATTTATGAAAGTTTGTAGTGTTCTTCCTCGTTAAAAAAACGTTGCCGCAAAACACATTGTGAATGCTAAATTTTGAAGTATAGAATAAAATATAATACATTTCGAGTTCAGCAAAATCATTTTGTGCGTGTGGGGGCTTTTGCAACATGCCTGATGTTATGGTAAACCAATTCTTTCATTCGAAAATATCAGGCTTGTTGATTATACTTTCCCGATACAAACTAGCCCGCTTTCGCAACGTCGCCAGTAAATTGGCATATTAGATAAAAATGTCAGGGAACCAAAAAACTCGAACATTTGAGACAGCGCCGATTTTAAGAATTCTAATGTTGAAATTATGTCGACAATTTTTCGGAGTGAGGGTTTAGACGGCTCCTCCCATCTGAGTCACATTCCCGGCGCTTATAACATCTTCCTCCTATATAATGCTGTTTACGGTGACAGAAGATAATACCGAATTCGCCCCCTCATCAAGGACCGGAAGGCGGAGTTCTTTCCTGATTTGATGAAGTGTGATGTTCTGCCCCTCGCGACTTTTCAACATCCGAATTCTCCTTTTCCTGTTTACCAAGTTGGAATAACACAATTTTTAAAAGTTTTCTCTCATTCTAACCCATTCCTCGAAGGAACTTGTCGGATTCGCGGAACGAATAAGGTCCCCGTTGATGTTATAGGACCGCGGCATCCCTGCGGGGTAAGATAATCTGTTGACAGAACGAAAGCTTATCCTGGATAAACACACAAACACGTCTTATTCAAACATATTAAGTTTTTGCCGTCACGTGCCATTTCGCCTCCAATTTTCACGCGCGCTTTCCGCGAAGTTATTATTAAGGAAAACATTTCCCACGGTTGCTTCGAAGTTAGTGTGGGAATGCGCAGACACTTCGGACTCTTGTGGTGCCCTTTCTTCCGGCGAAGGCCGCATGGATTTCAGGGAACGAAAGGCGTGAGATTTCCGGTTGACCTATTCCTTCAGGCTCATAAGAAATCCGTTTCAAATGGCGATTGTTGTCTGTCTGGTTTGTGGAAAATTGTCAGCCGCAGGCATTAATGTTCTGAACATATTTTTTCACGGATCGCTAGGTCTACGGTATAGCTGTAGTTTCTGCGCAATTACCATAACTTTTATTACCGAATTCTCGCGGCCTTTCTGCTATTTATCGCTCTCGGCTATAGTCGGCAAATGCGATTATGCATTATTCCAAAACAGGAGATCACTATGACCTCTGGAATTATTTTGCATTCACCATTCATGGGTTTGTGCCATTTCCTCGTACATTTTGCCGTAATTGAATTTAAGCTGGTTTGCAAATTATTCAAAGCCCATTGTGCGACATGGTGGAATATTTTATGGGCTTTTGTTGCATGTTCTTTTGCTGCGCTTTTGATATTTGATAGTGGGTAATGTCCCGACCCGGATCCGTAATTGAATCATTTGAGAATTGTGGGGACAAGTGGGTCGTAAAATTCCATTTGGGAAATGTCAGCGGGTCAACAGATGGCATAATTCAATCAAACAGTGTGCCAGAAAGGTGTTTGTTTTTGGGTATAAAAAGCGAATCGTACAAACGGGGGCCGCAAATTTTCAAAATTTAACCTTATTTTCCAGGGATAATACCATGTTTGTAGGCCTTTAAAGATTTGATTAGATTCAGCAACGGTAGGCATTGCAACCATGCTAATCCAATAATTCCGAAGCCTTCGAGTTCGAGTCCGAAATGTCACGGGATTTTTTAAATCCGTCTTCAATGCTCGCAATTATCAGCAAGTGTAGCTTGCAATTAGCCTTCAAAAAAATTTCAGTACGTGGTGAAATTAGTTTTTTCGAGGACCATTTCCCTGCCGGTGCTTTATTAACTATTTATTCTGGCGTTTCCAATCTTTTTTCTTGCCATTTTCCTTCGTTTATTATGCGAGGACCTGAAGTTCACGGGCCAAATGTTAAAACACTGCGAAATGCCAATTAGCGGACTCTAGTATCTCAGACATCACCTATTAAATCCTGACTTTGCATGTTGTTTTGTAAACAAGAAATAGCGGACTTCCTCTCGGGCCGGTGGGGGGCCCCGCCCATTCACGGAAGAAAAGTCTGAATGAGTCAAGAGCCTGGGAATTGGAGATTTGATGCTGGCTTCTGGTCTGTATTTCTTGGCCGCGTGTAGCCGGTGGCTTTGTTTTTTGCAGGCTTTGTCGCCGCGACATTTTGAGCCTCTCGAACGATTATCTTTTGCGTTTTGTCACGTTCGCGCTCTCAAGTATTTACCGTATGTCGTAACTACCGTTTATTTGTGCAGTTCGCGAATTGTACCCGCCCCGTTTTCAGTTTTGTAGTCGCACAAAAGCAGCGCACTTCTTCTATGACTAACTCCTTTTTCCCCCCTTCACACCGCGGCGGCAACAAGCGGTTTCTGGGAAATCTTGGCTCTCGAGATCATGAGGGTTGTTTTTTGCGTAGGTTGTGTAATACAAAGCAGTCATATTCGAAATTTTTTTTTGATTAATTCCTCTTATTGGCATATTATGTTGTGCGGGGCTGAGCTCTCAGTGTTTTAATCAGATGCTATCCCCGCATTTCGGAAAAGATAAGCAGTTTTGGCGCTAATCCTTCCCCTTCGAAATAAGATTTTTGGGATTAATTTTTTCCCATTGCTTCATGCATATTGTTTTCGGGCCGCGCTTATCCGCCCGATTTTCGAAAACACCCAGTCGAGTGGTTGATTTCATTTTTCGAATTAATTTCGATATTTTAATTTGGAAATTTGTCTTAACGAGACCATTTTGATTGCAGATACCACTGTTTAAATTACACAACAACTCGTAATGGTATGGTATAGTCAGCCGTCGGCTGCATCCTCCCCTCAACGCCCATCCAGCGAATACTCCGATCTCAGCGAATACGAAGAAGCCTCATATCCCTGCGAAGACGCGACGCATCAGCACAGCATCAGGAATCTGGACACACCGGTAGAATTGTGCGGCGAGACCCACTTCCCCATCCTCGAGCCAAAATTCCATTTGCATCGCTTGGACGACAGGTATGTCTTGGTGGCGTTTTTTTTCCCCGACCCTACTCATTGCGTATTCCCACGAACCTAATTGAATTTTTTCTCGGCTGCATTTTTCCGCGTACTGTTTTGCATTGGAATTGAACCCGCTTCCATGTTTATTCGTGAATTCAAAATTCGGTTCCTTTGCTGTCTGCAAACTAAGTCGGCTTCACCAAAAAAATTATGTACCAATTGAATGCGAAACGTGGTTGGCCTACAAATTTGATGGTCCGGAAAGTTCTCTCTCCGCTGAACTATGGACAACAGAGTTCCGTTTTGCAAGGCTCTGGTTACATCGAATCAATTTGCATTTTAATTAAAAAAATGTCTGCAAATCCGCGTGACTCCGCGCGCCGACGTCGCATGATGCGGAATCTTTTCCGCGCTGACCTTCACGGGCTTTCGTCGCGGCGGATAATCGGACGTTGACTCCACCGTGGCTTATCCGCCAATTCCAATAGCCACTCTTTTGTTGGGCCGCGCGAAACTCATTGCCCCGCATTCCCGGCGGATTGGCCGACCGCTTTCCGCTTCGGATTTGCGGCATTCCAACGGCGCGGCAAAATGTCAGATAATTTATTATCTCGGGTGAATGTTAAGCCGGCTTAGCGGCCGCGGCGGTTTAGCGCGTTGTGGTATATGATATTAAAGATTAGGTCCGATTAGCGGCCTTTAATGGTAATCAGGATTCTGACGCTCCCCTGAAAACATGTTGAGCTGCCGGCACACGTTTGGATTAGCCAGCCGGAATCGTTTGTGTGGATTAGCGGTTGGCGCGGTTTTCTGGGATTAGCGACACACCGGGCTCATCAGCTTCCGGACCCCGACGTTTTCGAGGGAGAGACGTTATGACGGCTTAGGGCAAAAGGTTAGATTGACGCCGGGATTTGCGGGATCGGGGATTGCGGCGAAATGCCAAGTCGACGTCAGCGGACTAGACTGTTTTTTATTTTCGCAATTCTTGGCCGAAATTTTGGCCAGTTTTCGGCAAGTGTCTGGATATAATAGACTCAATTTATTATAAATATAAATTGAATTTAGTATTCCATTATAAAATAGATTATGATTACGAAAATTCAGACAAAAAACAAAAGTGCATAGTTTAGTTTTGCAATCACAGTGCACTTTTGGGAAGTACTAGTCATTGCGCAATTTGAAGTGATATTGGAGTCATCATAGTGCAATTTCAGGAAATATGCGATGGCTTTTACGTCAGAACGTGGCCTTCGAGTTTTCGCAATCCTCATTGAACTCATTGGCGACCGAATTCGCGTCGAGACCACCTCCTATGATCATGTGCATATCCCAATCTACGTGAACGGCTTCTACGAACGCGAATGCCGGGCCATTGTGGACGTGTACGAGAATTATTACAAGGTTCGTTTGTTTATGCGTAAAATTAATTATGGTTCGGCAAAAGTGCTTATTTCCCTATTATTTTCGTGTTTTTTTGATATTTTATGGACCTGGGTGACGATTATTTTTGCAGCTTTCGATAAACGGCAAGACCGTGCTGCGACGTGCGCATGTGCGCCCGTTCACCAAGAGCTGCTCGTGTTGCTCTTCGCCGTACGACTCGGACGCCGAGCTCCGATCGGAGGAAGAGGACGAAGAGTCCACCGTGGAGTCGTCGCTCAAGTTCTACGCCCCGCAAAAGGCGTTGTCGGTGGCGGCGATGAGCAGCAGGAAACGGCGTCACAGCTCGTCCTAATGCATTCACACTAATACACTAACTCGTGGGTATTGTTTTCAAAACATGTCAAATAATTGCCGCTTCTCGTCTGTAATTAATTCCTTCCCTTTTTCTCGGCAAACTGTACATAGGCTGAAGAACGTCCAGACATTTGGAGGGATCCATTTGCATGTACGTACTTTTTGCAACATTTGTAAATGGACTCTTTGCCTGTCTGCGACGTTTATTTGTAAATATTTTTTTCGAAGTCTATGTGGAAGTGTTCAGGGTGGAAGTAATAGGGTTTGAAATTGGCAGAGTAGAGTTTGTTTTTTGGTCATTTTCGAAGTGATATCAAAGCAATTTTACATTTTCCTACTCTCTTAAAATCATTGAATGCCTCGGATATCCGTACAAAGCGTTGTCCCAGATTTTCAACAACTGATTTGCTGCCTAACTAGAGTAAATTTGCCAATTCTCAAACCTCTTTGTCTCCACCCCACAACCACCTTATCTTATATAGTACCAAATCGCGGAATTCTAAAGAAAATCTTGATGGTCGAGTTGAAATGCTCCGAACATATCATTCATTCCTGTACCGCACTCTTATACCCGATATCATCATTGTAAAGTTTCTCAGCAAGGTTCTAATTTATTGTCGGAACGATTAACTAAAGTTACTTTAAGACTCTCAGAGATTCTCAGAAAAAATTCTAATCTATACTCAATGTAAAAAACACCTTTTTTCATGACTTTTAACATATACTTTACTGTCTAAAACTCTACCTAATTGATTTTTTATTGCACTTTCTTGATCTGATGAGACCTCGATTTCCAATAATTCTATGGAGGCAGCACTCAGTGTGGATTTTTAAAATATTGAGATTGCTTTATTGTATTAACGTAATACTTCGTCGTTGAAATAAAAAATATTAATTACAACTCGTATTGAAGTTGGCAAACAGTTTTAACAGTCAAAATCCCAATGGTGGTAGGTCGTGTTTTCGGCGTTTCCATCGGCCGTCACAAAGTCCAAAGCCGACGGAGATACGGTACAAGCAATGGTCCGATTCCAGTCTCTGTCAATGTGTCTGATCACACGGCCCGAATCCATGTCCCAGAGCTGGAACACCGACTTGTTGGCGGGGTTGTTGTGTTCGGCGGTGGTGGTGAGGAACAGATGCTCGTTGATGAAGCCGACCGGATTAATTGGGAAGTCGTAGGTTTGAAGTGAATTCGACCACGCGTGCCCGTTGAAACGGTGGATCTGAAAATGGAAAAATTTAATTTCAAGCCAAAATTTATAAAAAAAAGGCTCTTCAGGGTATCACTTTTTTCAAATAAAAAAAATCGAATTTCAAAAATTCCCAAAACTCACAAAAACTTGGTTGAGATCGAAGATTCCGAACATCCGTCCATGGAAATAGTTCCACGCCGGCAATGGGCCCCGATGATGGTCCCAGGTTCCCAAATGCTCTCCAGTAATCACATCATGAACATGCACATTCTCACCCGTCTTCACGAAGATTTGATCCAACTCCGACACCAGCCCAATGGTCACTCCCATCGGGGCTGTGGTGTCGCCGTGGAAGTGGACTTGTCGCCGGCTGCCGTCCTCAATGTCGAGGATTTGGACGGGTCCTCCGTCCAAGTGGAGGGCCAGAAGACGGCCGTCGAAGCGAATGTCGCCGATCATTGGCTGCTGGCACTCGTAGCGGGCGGTTTGTTTGCCGGAATTGAGATCATAGATTTCGAGGCGGGAACGGCCAACGGTCCAGAGCATTCTGCAAAATTTTTGGGTTAAATTTGACTTCACAAAAACGATTTTTATTTTTTTTTTGTTTTTTTTTATCTACAGTAATTGGGATATGACTATTTGATTTTTTGAAACTTTGGATTTATAATCAAAAAAGTTGTCGTATCTCAAAAATAAACCTTCTTAGAACGACAGCTTTTTATAACTACTACATTTTTAGACTCTTGAAATTTGTTTTGTACAGATTTAATTCTATAATATTACATTAATTTATGTAGTTTTCTTATAAACTCTATTTTCAATGTATCTTCCCACCCACAGACTCACTTGTCTCCCTTGAAGATTGATCGATGATTATGCCGGAGCCCACCATTGCCCGCGAATTTGAAGGTCCTCGCGGATTCACCCGTTTCCACATCCCACACAACAACAATATCGTTTTCGTAATGCACGGCCAGCTTCTTCCCGTCTTCGAGGAACGCCGCATTCATCGGTTTCTTTCCTTTGGTCTCGGAATCGAACAAATCCCGCACAAATTTGCCGGTCGGATATTCGTGCAACGAGAACCAGCGATCGGAAAGTCGGACATTGCGAACAAGCATATTCTCGCCTTGGACCAGCCGAAGATCCCTCACATTGCTGCTGAATGCTCGACTGGAGGACTTGAAATTCAAAGTTCGCCAGTTCTCCTCGGCACTGGTCGTTTCTTGGAAGGGGTCTTCGATGATAGCGTATTTCTCGACCAATCTTCGTCGACGTTCGTCCAGGTTGCTGGGGCCGGCAATGTTTCGAGCTGCCGAAACCTCCGCCCTCAACGGTTTGCAGAGTTGTTTGGCGGACTTTACGGCACTTCTCATCAACATTTTGAATAGTTTCGATTGGTATTTGGAAAAATGATTCTGAAAGGAGTACGGTAAAATAAAAAATAGCTCTTTTAAAAAATTAGTCTTGCCTCAAATCACAAGACAACGCGATAAAGAACGTCGAAAAAATGGATACTGTATGGGAGATAAAACACAAAAGGTTGCATTGTATCTCTAAAAAATCGAACACAAAGGCGACACTTGACATTAAACAGTCGAAAATACAAAACAATTCAGAAATGAGGAGCCGCATGAGGTGTAAGTACAAAAAAACGGGATCATGACGCGCTAAATACCGTAGCAACATTATTGAAGACCTACCGAACTTTCGGCGCAATTCCAAGAATAATAAAGCCCAAGAAAATCTAAATTGAATTCTCCGCCGCGGTTCAAAGGTTGTTTTTATTTACACTGCCTCAAGACCGCTTTTCACGAAACCGTTTTTTGCTTTTTTTTTATTTTCGAAAATCACGAGGTTAGTGGCTTTTGCGCCCCGAACGAAATGACTCCAATCCTTTATCAGAACGCGGACAGTCCTCAACAAAAGACAATAGCGAACTAGCTTGTTATCGCATACCAAAGAGAAGCAATTGATATTTGTAAGGGTTAACAGGAGATATTTCGGAGGCAAAGTTGATAAAAATATGGAAAATCAAAGCATGATGCTGTCACAAGAATAAGAGATGACAGGAATTCTTTTTTGAGGCCAAGGAAAGCTGCATCTATTGCTCGGAGATCTCAAAATACAAGTCTCACATCACCGATCACCTGCACAGCCTCAAGGCTTTCCCCAAAACTCTTCAAAAGTCAGCTCCTATTTCAAGCAACCAGCTTCTTCCCAGCCCGCTCTTCATTCGTGTTCATATCAATGAAAAAGCGGAGACGACCCAGGGAGATGATTATTGATTTGGATCCCGATGGGAAAATCGAAGCCGAGCAGAGCGAGATGGACGGGTCTGACCTCAGTCCGAGGTCAGGGAAGCCCCCTGCTCCTATTTAAACCCCAAGACTTTCTTGCTTGCCGTGTGCCTGTCTTTTTCTCCACCCCGTTTCCCTGCTCGTCTCCGCCCTCGATGGGACTAGAGTAGAGATCAGGGAACCCCCCAAAGGAAGCGAAAGAGCGTTGCAGGTCAGGAGAAGGGCATGTGAAGGGAAATTTTGGTAGAGTGGGGTTGATTTAAGGGAACGTCACGGGGAAACGTGTGGTTTGCAACGGGTACGGCAAAGGGGCTTCGGACGGGGAAGACTGGAAATTTTTTTGCGACCAAATTCGGTGCAAACGATAGAGAGATCAGCCAGTTTTCGATGAAAAGTGGGAAATGATGACTGTATGAAAAAGGCCGAATATCTCGCTCATGTCTTGAAACAGAAAGTAAAATTTCACAAAGACCAGAAGGTAATCTATGTTGGGTATCAAGGCAATATTTGTCAAAAATTAAGCCTTGTTTAAAAAGTCTCTAGAGCTCGATCAATAAGGACTTTTGCATTCAAAATTTGTTTTTTTCACACCCTGTCGTAAAACCGTCAATTCCGGTTAAAAGTACACCAAAACAAAATTGTTTTCTCTATGGCCCCTCTAAAACCATTAGTCGATCAGCAGCGTACTTTGTCACGAAAAACCAAGCGGTCCTGAAAGTACCATCTAAGAGAACTTCTTCCACAACTCTGCACTTCAAGGACTTCATTCAAGAAAACAGGGATGAAAGTCCACGATACAAACAAATTGCGCAATACCACACAAACTAAGCACGTGAATTATCGGAGTTATGCAAGTGGGGGTTCCCCAGATTTTTCAGAGAGCAGAGAATATGGGCTGACCTAGAAATAGGTTGCAGGTGTAATCTTATGTATGAAAGAAGAGGTTTATCTTGAAGGTATTTGTTCGGGAAGCATGGGAATTTCAAAAGAACATTGCTGTAGGTCCTAGAAAGCGATCATTCAAAATTTTAGCTTCTTTTTGCACACTCTGCCGAGGAAACCCTTATAAAATGCGAGCTTAAAATATGGGTGAATTGTCATCAAAATCTTGACGTCTTAACTTGACCACTTCTTTTGAGAAAGTGAAAAATTTTTACCATAACCTCTATCCCCGATACCATCAAAAACCCACTGTAAACCCGACCAGACCCACCCGTTCCACCACCGATTACGACTTTATAAATGTATTCAAAAAACAGTTGTTGGCGCTACTCCAAAACAACATTAAACCGCGTAAACAGGTCAAAGTGCGCCCCCGGTTTACTGTAGTCATGCATTCTACGGTGAGCACAGCTGTTTGGCTCCAAAAATATGGAACAGCCTCGGGCGATGGGGATCTCCGAAACCCATTTGTAAATTTTTTGGATCACGAGAACGGACTTTGCTCCGGTTTCGCCGCGATTCCATGGTCCATTTCGTAAGGCGCAGCCGTTTTTGGTAAATAAAAAAAACGAATTACTTCCAAAACAAGGCGATAGCCAGTAATGGGAGATCTTCGCCATGCTTTTTGGAGACTTCTGGGTGGTTTTCAGCGAGCTTCCATGAGCAGTGATCATTGAGTGGCTGCTGTTCACTGAGGTTTAATAACTGCGCAGTAAAATGAGAGATCAAAGAACGCTCTTTTGGGCATACTATGGAAAGAACGAATTGTCAAATTTTGATGATTTTACTCGGATGGAATTCAATATAAGCTTATATAATTATACTTGACGGCAAATACGATAGTGTTGCCAAAACCCCTGACATTTATAATGGAATAATGCAAAGGCCTGTTGAAAAAGGAAGAAAAAAGGGTGTCTAGACGATTTACGGCTAAATGTCTGTTGTCAGCTGAATGCCATGGTTATGAAAAAAGGTTTCACAACATATCAAAAGGGCAGAAATATAGGATAAAATGCTGAAATTTGGGAAACAAAGAGCTCAGTCGTTAGGAAAAGGTCTTAGAATGTATTAGCATACATTAAAAGGTTATGAAAATTAGGAAATAAATTATTTACAAACGGTTTTGAAAATTGGAAGGTACGATAATCGTACGAAGTGTTGGCAGAGATATATCGAAAAGAGGTGATCTTTTCCAGCCCTCTGCAGCTCACCCGCTCACTTTTTGGCAATGATTGCTGAATTTCTCGGCTACTACTTAAAAGCGAGAGCTAATATTTTCAGGTATCAATAACTGAGATAGCCCCAACTCATCCGCAATATTTAAGCGAAATATAGAGCACCGCCTTCAATCACATTCCTTGTCGTTTACATTATACTTTTTCTGGGAATTTTGCAGTCCGCTACAACAACAAAAACAAATATAATATTGACATCAAGTTGTCCGTCAACCACATGGAAGCCAACTGTCTAACGCACAAAAAAGTGTGCAAAATTTGTACGAAAATAAAGAACGTATAGTATTACTTCCCCGTCCGAGTGACTCCCTTACTTTTTTCTCTCTCCTCGACAGCTGATCGCGTTTGCTACGTGAACTCCGATGGGAACCCGTTGAGGCCGTGAATTTCATGGGAAAAAAGAAAAAAACAATCTTAAAAAGTAATGCATTTTACAGTTGAAGCAGTAATTTTTCACACAGTAAAGTAGTGATTTACTTTTGAAAAATACTTTGAATCTTGTAATGGTTTACAACCAGGAAATGGTACCGAAAGTAATATAGAAAGTTGTAAAGCAGTCAAATTGTAAAAACATGATTTCTAAATTGCTTTAGGGCTTTGTTGATAAAGATATTGAAGAGAGAATTTTTACGGCCGCTAAATTTAGATAAAGAAAAGACGCAACAAATGAGATAACGGGCCTTGTAAATATCTCTTTTAATGTTCAATGTTTCTGGAAAGAGAAGCGTATCAAAAAATTTCAAAAGCGTACGGACCGCACTTTGGATACGGAGAAATCAAAGAATATCAAAGTTTGATAGGAAGGGAACAAGTCGGTTCGAATGAACTTGACTTGACGGTAAAATACAAACGTTTCTATTGGACTACAGAAAAAATAAGTCACTAATTTCTGTGTAGTCCACAAGTCTATTGAATTTTTCCACCTCTTTCAAAGTAATGCCTGGCTCACCCCTTATGGTGACTAAATTTTTCTCTGCAAGTTCAAATTTTGTACACTTGAGTTACACTTGCGCTTATTATTTTTCCGACCGACTTAACTCAACGCCTAGAGATTTTGATTCACCGTTTGGAAGCCCAATGGAAATGTATAAGGATCTATGACAATCAGTGAAATGGCGTCGCGAGTTTTGCGGCCACTTTGTGGGCATCCGACATTTACCGATTAGAATTACGATTTTTCTACCGTAGTCGACGTAGTATGACAGAAATTTTGCAGCCACCGCTGTCAAAGTTATAGGAGTTCATTTACAAAAAAAAATAGTTTTTGAACCTTTAGAAATGCCTGGTTAACCTTCTGCTAACTACTCAAGCCATTTATACATCTGAAAACTTAATTCGCAACATCTAACTGTCAAATGCATCATTAGAATTTCCCGCTGTGAGCAAATGTTGGCTGATTTCTAAACATGTCCCCATTATTTGCATAGTTCTTCTAGCTACCCGCCCCGATGCAACCGAGATATCACTGAGGTGATATTGCCAATTTTTATGATCTAAGTTTGTGCCCACTGTCATAAACCATATGCATTGCACTTTGACCACTACTACTGTAACCATAAAACTTCAGCAACTCCAACCACATGATCATAATAAACATGGTGCCAATATAACCTGTATGTTTCAACGAAAGCCACTTCGTCTTGATACTTTGAGCCGCCCGGTCTGTCATGCTGTCACGAACTTTGCTCATCAAAGATAACGTCGCCGAGACTTTGCGGAGACTTTTGAGATAAAAATCGCTCTTTTCACTTCCTTTTCCAATTAATTTCGGCCACAAATTTTGTAAAATTTTTGTAAATTCGGGAAACAAAAGAATTTAAAGAGCAAAAAATTAATTTGCTCTTTCTCTGGTATTTACCGCGAAAACATCGATCAATCTTATGCCAAAATGTTTATTGCAAAAAC